CGGGCTGTCGCAGGGTTATGGGCAACCTGGCGCTGGTCTCGTTCGGCTTGAACTTTATGATCGTCTCCTCCAGGACGTAGTCCTTCAAAGGGTTTAGGGCTTTGGGTCGTTCATTCGTGCTTCAGCACTACGGGTAGTTACATGGGCCCTTAATATGGTGGTATATAAGGGAATATTATAAGGCCATGAAACTACCCTTTGATCCGAATTGACTGTAGGGTTTAAGCTTCTCATCTGCCGCACACAGAATACCAGACAGACTCCTCAACCCTAAACATCCCCAAGTGTGCGCGCATCTTGAACCCATGCATTCCAAGGGCAAGTCCTTGCCGTTGCAGGCAACGCAATCCTCAGCCAGGTCGCTTCAGGACTTGGGAATTTCGGGTTTAGGACGTTTCGGGTGTGTTTAGGAGTTGGGCGAGGGGAAGAGGGGCAGGGGAGGGATCCATAAACCCTAAACTCTGAACCCGAAACCCCGCGCGTCCCAGATCGCGACGGGGGTTCAGGGCCTAAACTTCCAAAAGCTGTTCTCATTCAGGACAAGGGGTTTATGCCCTGCAGCCTCAAGCCTATATAAACCCTAAACCCTAAACCCTAAACCCTAAACCCTAAACCCTAAACCCTAAACCCTAAACCCTAAACCCTAAACCCTAAACCCTGCAGCAAGGCGCCGTCGACTCCAGAGGCGACTTGGACGGCACCACGCGCACGGCCACACTCTCCTCAGAGACCCGGAAGAAGTAGGTTCCAGGGACAACAGCGGGCTTAGGGGTTTAGGGTTTAGGGTTTAGGGTGCTGGGGTTGTGGGCCTTCGGGGATGATCAGGGAACCGAAGCACCCCAAAAGTCGCAGTACCTGGGGAAACGATGGGTTGGTTTAGGGTTTAGGGTTTAGGCTGAACGGTTTAGGGTTTAGGGTTTAGGGTTTAGGGTTTAGGGTTTAGGGTTTAGGGTTTAGGGTTTCGGGTGGTTTAGGGTCATGGGGGTTTGCAATATCACAGCAACCCATCCTCCACCAAAAGGGCAACCCTAAACCCTACATCCTAAACCCTAAACCGCAAACCCTAAACCCTAAACCCTAAACCCTAAACCCTAAACCCTAAACCCTTGCGCATCCCAGTGTCTGAGGCCGCACCTCTTCGGTAGAGAGTGACCTCCGCCTGACCTCAGGGCCCAGAGCGGGAGGGTTATTCAGGTTTGGCTGGTGCGGGGCGTCGGTGCAGGGTTTGGGGTTAGAGGGTTTAGGGGTTATAGGGTTTATAGGGTTTAGGGTTTAGGGTTATAGGGTCTAGGGCTTCTGAAGTTGGATGTGTAGGGCTTTGGGAGTATGAGCGTTATGTTTGGGGGGGTAAGGGTTGAGGGCCATGGCCTGAGCTCATGGACTCAAGAGGCATGGGGTTTCTGCCACTGCGGCAGTCGAACAACCCAGTGCCGTCTCTAGAGAAAGTCACCCCTAAACCCTAAACCCTAAACCCTAAACCCTAAACCAGCAACCCCCACCTTCTGAGGCTTTGCCAGCAAAGTTGAGGTGATCGAAGCCCACCTCTCGCGAGATCCGGGGTTTAGGGTTTAGGGTTTAGGGTTTAGGGTTTAAGGTTTAGGGTTTAGGGTTTTAGTTTTAGGCTTCATACATGAGGCGGATGGGTTGTGGAAGTTTGGTTTGGTGTTCGGGGCTTAAGAACTCCAGCAGACAGGGAATGACTTCTCACAACTAGCAAACAAGCCACAGCTCGACGACGTCAAAGCTCACATAGCACACAAGGTGTGCAGATAACTCATAGTTTTTGGTCGGAATAACAGTATTCCCTTACGGTCCCTATATACTCATACTATAATAACCCGCATCTTGCTCTAAGGCCCTAAATCCTAAACCCTAAACCCTAAACAGTTTGCATGCCACACAGGGCTTATGGCGGACTTCCAGCTGCCTGAGGCCCTGAACCCGAGACCTTCTCCACCCCTAAAAGCCCTGGAACTTCCAGCTGACCCTAAACCCTAAACCCTAAACCCTAAACCCTAAACCCTAAACCCTAACCCCCAACCCCTAAACCCTAACCCTGAACCCTGTGCGCGCTGGAGCCGCCTCACAGCTGGCAGCCGGCAGGTCCGTCTGCGCATCCTTGGATTACAGGGTTCTTAAGGGTTGGGGGGGTTTAGGGTTTAGGGTTTAGGGTTTAGGGTTTAGGGTTTAGGGTTTAGGGTTTAGGGTTTAGGGTTTAGGGTTTAGGGTTTAGGGTGCAGGGTTCAGGGTTGTTAAGGGAGGGCGGGGTTCAAGGGGGGGCGGGGGTGTGTACCCAACGTTCTCTAATGCTCCAAGGCTTTCAAAGGTTTTTGTAAAGTTTTCTACCCCTCATGAATCCCCCCTCCCAGAATGACCCGGTAACCTGGATATGGGGTCCTGATTTTCGGGGTTGGGCCTAGACCCTGGAACCCTAAAGACCTGAAACCCTAACAAACAAACTTAAACCCTTCATACCCAAACCCTACCAGCCCCCCACCCTCCCCCAACCCCCCCCCCAATGACAAAAACAAAAGAAAAATCTCCTTGATGCTAACAAACCCTTTGCGTTTAAAAAACCCTAAACCCTAAACCCTAAACCCTAAACCCTAAACCCTAAACCCTAAACCCCAAACTACCGGGAAAAAAAGTCCCCTCGGTTGCTCTGCCTAACAGGCGTCGGGCGGTTGCTTCAGGGCCTCCTCTGCCAGGCCGGCCCAGAAGCTGGCGGGATCCTCCTTGTGCTTGTCCTTGTCCTAGGGTTTCGGGTATTTAGGGGTATTTAGGGTGTTTAGGGGTATTTAGGGTATTTCGGGTATTTAGGGTATTTAGGGTGTTTAGGGTGTTTAGGGTATTTAGGGTATTTAGGGTATTTAGGGTATTTAGGGTATTTAGGGGTATCTAGGGTATCTAGGGTATTTAGGGTATTTAGGGTATTTAGGGTATTTAGGGCATTTAGGGTATTTAGGGTATTTAGGGTATTTAGGGGATTTAGGGTATTCAGGGTATTCAGGGTATTTAGGGTATTTCAGGTATTTCGGGTATTTACCCCACAAGCCTTCCGGTTCTTAGTAGGAAAGAAGGGAGCTAGGTACCCTATGAAACTCCCGAAAGCGCTTAGGGTTCTGGGGCGGTTCTGGGTACGGGCACGGGGGGGAGGGGGGCTGACAGGTTTTGTGGTCTAGGCACTTTGCACTTAGGGTTTCGGGGATTTAGGGGTGCTAGGATTTCTAGGGTTTATTTACGGTTTAGGGTGTTAGGATGTAGGGTCCCAAACTCAGTTCGAAGCTATCGAGTTCAGAGTCACCGGGGGCTTAGGGCTATTCTCGGGTTTCGGCGGGGCGGATAGAGCCCTAGACCCAAACCCTGAAAAGGGCCTCCGGCACCTGGGCATCATCTTTCTCGACCTCGCGCTCTGACGTTGTCCTTGGCGGTTTAGGGTTTAGGGTTCCTCCTGAAACAACAACAGGAAGCTAGATCCTGGACAAAGCCAGAAGTCCCTCACCCCCAAGCTCCAATCTTCATACCCTAAACACAAGTACTGGGATCCTAACCCCCCAACACCCGAAGCTCTAAACCCCGAAGCCCCTAAACCCTGAACCCACCCGAAACCCTAACCCACCCCCCCACCCCCCCCAAACCCCTAAACCCAAAACCCTAAACTTCAAACCCTCTGAACGCGAAATCCCCCCCACACCCTAAACCCCCCAAACCTAAGACCCCCCCTTCAAGGGACTGAAGGAGGGACCCTTGTGAAGGGGATCTTATTGGGTACATTGGGGCTATACTTAGGTATATAGGGGCTGTATAAGGCATATCTAGGGGTTACATAAGGGGAATAAGATTAAGGGTCCCTTGCAGGGGTCCCTCCCTAAAGCCTGAAACTTGAAACTTGAAACTTGAAACCCTAAACCCTAAACCCTAAACCCTAGACCCTAAACCCCAAACCCTAAACCCTAAACCCTAAACCCTAAACCCTAAACCCTAAACCCTAAACCCTAAACCCTAAACCCTAAACCCTGTTCGAGAGCCGAGGTGGCGGGGACTCGTGGCCCCAGCCAGTGGCGATGGCGAGCCGGCCACCGAGCTCCTGGCAGTTGAGCTTAGGGTTTAGGCTTTAGGGTTTAGGGTTCAGGAATTAGAGTTTAGAGTTAGGGGTTAGGGTTTTGGGCTTAGGGTTAGGGTTTGGGGTTCACGCTTCGGGGTTAGGGTTTAGGGTTTAGGGTTAGGGTTTAGGGTTTAAGGGGTTAAGGGGTTATGGGGTTTAGGGGTTTAGGGGTTTAGGGGTTTGGAGTTTAGGGGTTTAGGGGTTTAGGGGTTTAGGGGTTTAGGGGTTTAGGGGTTTAGGGGTTTAGGGGTTTAGGGGTTTAGGGGTTTAGGGGTTTAGGGGTTTAGGGGTTTAGGGGTTTAGGGGTTTAGGGAGCCTGAGACCCGAACTCCTGAACCCTGAACCACCGAAAGGGCAGGGTTCAACGGTGCATGCCCCACGAGCGTTCGATGCGGACAACGAATCTCGAAACAGTGCCGTGCGCACTCAACGCGCGGATTCTGGCTGAAGGCAGAAAACTCTTTAGGGGCCGAACACTCTAGCACCAAAAAAGTTGACATTTCCTTTTTTTGAAATAGGAAATATATGTGTATATATATATATAATATTAATATATATATATACAGAAAACGTCGCACTGCAGGCCCGAGTTTTTCGTAGGTCAGGTGTTTTAAGCTAAAACTATAATATAATGCACAACTCAACGTATCAAAGCTGGACACACATGCATCTACTACCCAAATGTCATGAGTAGGCATATTCTTAAATAATGCTCAGTTTCAGAGATTGCGTGGCGGTCAGAGTATGGACTTTCGTCCTGGTCTCTCCGGGGGGGGGGGGGGGGCAAAAAACAAAAAACAAAAACTAAAATCCGGGGGGGGGGGGGGGGGGGGGGGGGGGCCAAAAAAAAAACAAAAAAAAAAAAAAAAAAAATATATATATATATATATATAATATATATATATTTATTTTTTTTTTTTTTTTGGCCCCCCCCCCTTTTTTCATTGGGGGCCACCAATCAGATTTTAATTTTTTCAAGGTGTTTGAAGATTCAAAAGGGGCCTCCCCCCTTGAAGCTTTAAGTGGGTTAAATATTAAGGATTTTAAAGACTGTAAAAGGGGCCTGCCCCTTTAAACTTTACTTGGAGCCCCCATGTAAATTTGAAAGAGTGTGAAATTTCAAGTTCTTGAAGATAATTGAAGGCCCTCCCCCTTTCAAATGAAAATTGGGGTGCACCAAATAAATTTTAAAGATGTTAAAAGTTTTTCAGATTTTAATAGAGGGCTCCCCCGCTCAAATTTATATGTGACCCCAAGTATGTTTTTTTAAAGTTTTTTGAAGATTTGTGAAAAGGGGCCTCCCCTTGAACATTTAAATGGAACCCCAATGAAATTTTAAGATTTATACAGGTTTTAATGATTTTAAAGATTTTGAAAGGGCTCCCCCCCGCCCTTGAAGTTTAAATGGGCCCCCCCCAATTCACTTTTTAAAGGTTTTGTAAAGATTTAAAAAAGCCCCCGCCCCCCACCCCAATGAAGCTTTAAAGATCTTAAAGGTTTCAAAGGTTTTACAGAGTTTAGCAGGGGGCTCCCCCGTTGAAATTTAAATGGGGCCCCCAGTTCAATTTCAAAGATTTTCAAACCCCCCCCCCCAAAAAAAAAACAAAGTTTACTTAGGGGCCCCAATTAAATTCTAGAGACGTTAAAGATTTTAAAGATTGTAAAAGGGCCTCCCCCCTTTAAACTTTAAGTGGGGGGCCTCAGTAAAATTTTAATGGTTTTAAGTTTTAAAAGATTTTAAAAGGCCTCACCTTGAAAGTTTAAATGGGGCCCCAATTAAACTTTACAGATTTTAAAGATTTAATGATTTTGCATATTTTGGAGATGTTAGAAGCCCTCCCCCCCAAAAAAAAATTAAATGGGGCGCCCAATTCAATTTTTTAGGATCTTAAAAGCCCCCCCCCCCCCCGCCCTTTTATAGGTTTTAACTCTAAACCTTTCCCATTTTCATTATTTTCAACATTTTAAAGGTCCTTAACATGTTGAGAATCCTTACAGAATAACTGGGGCGGGCCCCTGGTCCCCCCAATATCTGAATACCTTTGACAAACTAGATGGGAAGGGGCCCGACTTTTTTCAGGGCTTTAAGGTTTCTAACAGCCTTGAAAAACTTTTAAAGTCATTAATTAATCAAATGGGAAGGGGTCCGAATGCATTTGCTTTAAGGACTTGAAAGGTTTGAAAAAAAACATAAATGGGTATGGGGGGCCCCGGGCCCTTCCCATTTAGATTTTTGAAGACTACAATTCAAATTTCTCCAAGACTTACAGAATTTTTCGAAAATTAGATGGATGAAGATTCCCTTCTTCAAGATTTAAAGGATTTTAAGTTTGTTTTTAAAAAAACTAAATGTATCCGGATGGAGGTTCTCATAGTCTGTATGCAGGTATTGTAAGTATGGTCACAAATAAGGTAAATTCATGAAAAATATGTGTTTTGGACCTGAAAAACACAGGCCTGTATTCCGACGCACTCTCCAGAAATATATATATATATGTATAAAACCAAAAGGTCAAAGCTTAACTACCCAGCCACTAAGAGCCCGAAACTGCAAGACCCTCCCAGCACCCTCCCTCCCGGCGCCTGAATCTGCTTGCGGATCCCGCTGAAGTCCCCCACTGCCTGGATGTGGCTAAGTCTGTTCCCGAGACGGTTTAAGGTTTAGGGTTTAGGGTTTAGGGTTTTTTCAGGTCTCTAAAAGACCCTAAACCCTATGAACCCTAACCCCTAACCCCTAAACCCCCAACCCTAAGAACCCTAAACCCTATGAACCCCAAACCCTATGAACCCTAAGCCCTAAACCCTCTACGCCCTATAAACCCTCGAAGTCGAGGTACACCTTTGAGCTTCGGTGTCACAACCCAAAGGGCCTGTGAGTCGCTTCTCACAGGCGCAGTGCAGGAGCTTGCTTTAGGGTTTAGGGTTTAGGGTTTAGGGTTTAGGGTTTAGGGTTTAGGGTTTAGGGTCACCCGACAAAGTTGCAAGAGAAACTGCCCAGAAAAGACGACGTAGGCCCGAGATTGCTGCTGCAACCCTAAACCCTAAACCCTAAACCCTAAACCCTAAACCCTAAACCCTAAACCCTAAACCCTAAACCCTAAACCCTAAACCCTAAACCCTAAACCAACAGCCCAAGAAGGGAAACCTTGAGGCCGGAATTCTGGCTCAAAGCAGTCGGATGTGGATTCGGCCCAGGAAAGCATGAACACCTAGGGCCTAACTGGGGGAGAACCCGATATAAGGGGTACAACTTTTTTTTTTTGCTTGGGGAGGGTGCCTACCAAGCCGGGTGCAACATCACTTGGACCCTGTAGGCAGGCTAGCTGGTGACAGCACATCCTTGAGGATCCAGCCTTTCGGCAGCAGGAAAGGGTGCTCCGGAGGAATAGACATTCCTGAGAGCGCGTTGCGGGGATTGGGGTCTGGGGGGAGTCTTGCTGCTTGGTCCAGTGGCCACAAGCTTTCTACTCATACGCCATGTACACCTTTACACCCCTCAAATCCCACCTTCTAACCCTAAACCCTAAACCCCAAACCCCAAACCCCAAACCCTAAACTATTGAACCCTAAACCCTGAACCCTAAACCCCACATCAACCCTGAGCCAACACTGCCGGAGAAGCCCACAGGATTGCCAGCACCAGGAAGAAGGCAGTGGCGATGGCAAAGTCGGCCCAAACCCATCCTGCCAACTAAACCGCACACCCCAAACCCTACAACTAACCCAGGTTCAACCGGGTTTAGGGTTTAGGGTTTATAGACTTTATATGGTTTAGGGTTTAGGCCCCTAACCCTTAAACACCCCAAGCCGCTACACCCTGTCCAGATTGGGGGAGGAGGGTTTAGGGCTGGGTCGGTTCCCCGACCATGGTGATCAAAGGTTTAGGGTTTAGGGTCCTGTTCTTTGGGTGTTTAGGGTTTCAGGGTTTGCGGTTTCAGACTTCAGGGTGCAGCGATGTCAACCAGAGCCCTCAACACCTGGCTACTGGCCTAAAGAAAATCCTTCCCTAACCCTAGAAATCCACTGCCATTTCCATGTCTTGAGATATTCTGTAGAACCCTAAGCCCTACACACTACCTGTAGATTCGAGGAAAGGCGTGTAGGTCATCAGTTGCCGCGCTGGCGCCTTGGCTGTCAGGGAGCGGTTGGGATAAGTGCAGCAGAGGGCAGGAAGGTTAGACGATTTAGATGTTTGGCGCTACTTGTGGGATTTGAGGGTTGAGGGTTTAGGGCTTTTAGGCTTTAGGGTATCGGGTTGCGGGTTAAGGTTTGTTGCCGAAGGACCTTGTCGGTTTGTTGCGACGTTGCTGTTGGGATTGGGTGGGGGAGAACCCACATCTGCCATAACCCAATCAGCCCAGAAGGCCACAACTCCCAATCTAGGATTCCAGGCTTACCTTACACCCCCTAAAACACAAATACTACCACTCGAACCTCGGAATTTAGGGTTTAGGGTTTCGGGTTTAGGATTTAGGGTTGGGGGGTTGGGGTGTACGGTCTTGGGCTAAGGGTTTCCCTTATCTCTTCACGCAATCTCCTGGATCTGTTCAACTTCCCAAAGCCTTCAGAGCCCAACCCGTCCAAAACCGGAACTAAACCCGAAGGCCGACAAAGCTTCCGCAAGCCCTAAACTCAGTTCAGGCCTATAGCCTATAAACCCTATAGCGCCCTATTACAAAGCCCTGCAAACCTCAAAAGCCCTATAAAACCCTCGTACCCTCAACTCTCGACCTTTCTATCGCTTGAAGGCCCGGGCCTCAGGAGCATGCCTGGCGGAACATGCCATGGTGAACCCCAGGGTCAAAGCTTCTGGTTGAGACTGATTTCTTCTAGGATGGCCCGAAAAGCCCTCTGAAAAGTACAGGCCTGAATGTACCCCTTTTTATACAGCAAATAGGATAGAACCCCTCGAAGGGACCCCCTAAAAGGGAACCCCAATTTTCGGACCCCCCCCCCCCCCCCTCCCCAAAAAAAATTAGTCCTCTAAAGCCCGCTAAGCGAAAAATATAAAATGTCCCAAGGTCCAACCGAGGTTCGGGTTGAGAGCCCTATTGGGTTTAGGGTCGAGGGGTTGAGGGCTCGAGGGGTCCTAAGCCCTCTGCCCTAGTACAACCTTAAGCCGAAAACCCTATTGGGTTTCGGGGTTTCGTGCTCCAAAAGAAAGAGAGAGAGAGAGAGAGAGAGAGAGAGAGAAGGAGATGAGGAGAGAGAGAGGAGAGAGGGAGAGGAGGGAGAGAGGGAGAGAGAGGGAGAGAGGGAGAGAGGAAGAGGGGGAGGAGAGAGAGGGGAGAGGGAGAGAGGGAGAGAGGGAGAGAGGGAGAGAGGGAGAGAGGGAGAGAGGGAGAGAGGGAGAGAGGGAGAGAGGGAGAGAGACAGAGAGGGAGACAGACAGAGGGTCGATTTACACAACCGAGATAGCATGCAGAGGCCCCCTTCCTCAAGCTCTCCTCCTACACTTTGACACCTTCAAGTCGTCACACCAATCCTTGGTTTCCAGGCTCATGCCCTCAATTTTCAGAATCATCTCGCCTCACAGACTTGGCGAGCTCGTGGCAAGCGGACAGCACATTGGAGCCACTAGCCTCGGAGGACTGGGGCGCTACAAACCTCAACACAGAAGACCCCCTGAAAGTCCGGGCATGATGGATACTGGGGACGCAGGAAACCTTTCACAATCATGCATGAGACATACAAACTCCTTGGGGTTTAGGGTTCAAGGAAGTACTTCTGGGTCCAGCTACTATGCATTCGCGATGCGCGGTCCATTGCAAGGCCTGTGAGGGCACTTCAAGTGACGGGAGCGCAGTGTTTTCCCAAAGCGGTTTAGGGTTTAGGGTGTAATGCTCTCGCGGCTGAGCCTTCTGCCTACTCCGGGGAGGGAGGGGGCTTCTCAAGTTTATTTTCGTTAGCATCAAGCCATGAGCCCCAGCCTAAACTGGTGTTTCTGAACCCAAAACCCCAAACGCTTAAAACCCTGAACTCCTACTCCTCTCCCCACACTGGGTCGACACCTGATTCCAAACCTGTCTGACAGCCTAGACACTGAAGCATGTCTGTGGTTAGATGGCTTACGTAGGCTCTATACTAAACCCTAAAGCCCCAAACCTTGTATTTGTTTATGCGCAGAGCAACGGGCCGGGCCATCTACCCAACAGAAAACCCTCCCTGCCCCCCTCCTGTGCATGGACCTCACACCATGACAATTGGACTCCCTCGGTGCCCCCGCTGGAGCTTGCAGCTCTTCAAGCGCTTCGCCGAGGAACGCCTGTGCAAGGGGCTGTTGCGCGTAGGGCTTAGGACAGGTGGTTTGAGTTCAGGGACGAAGCTCAAAGCCTGAACCCGTATCCTCGATGGACAACCCTGAAGCCCTTGAAACCCATAACCAAAAAACACCCACCCAGCCTTCTTTAAACCTTCAACCTGGATCCCTTGAACCTAAACCCCTGAACCCTACACACAGAGATCCCTAAACCCTGAACCCTGAACCCTACACCCTAAACCCTAAACCCCCAAAACGGGAAAACACCTTCACCTCGATTACTGAAAGATCCCTTCTCCCGGCCTCATGTTGCAACACGACTTCGCAGCTTTCCTCAGCTTCAGGCGATCCCATCCAAAGGCCCTGCATACAAAAGCTTGGGGTGTCAACCCTTTTGGGGGAAGAAAGGGGGGAGCGGCGGTAGATAAGAGGGACCTCTATTTAAGACTTCAAGAGAACGCCCGTGTAGCCTAACCTTTCGGGGATAATGTAGGGCAAGGCTTTGTTGAGCCTAGACGCTGGGCATCGACCAGACATACCCCTAAGCCGTCACAGACCTAAGCCCATGATAAACCTGATACACTCTGCAAAAGCCCTCCAAAGCCCATAAATCCTGCCTAGAAAATCTAGAAACCCCTAAAAAACCCTAGAAACCCTACAAATCCTAGAAACCCTGTAAACCCCTCTAAGCCTTTCTTACGCCCTACAGCACCATACCTACATCTCGCTTCGCCGAGGTGCGGCTGCGCGCCGAAGAGACTCCTGGTGGGAGTCCCACGCATGTCTCAGATGCAAAGAGGGCCTACCCGCCTCTCTAGGGGCGGCGGGTTTAGGGTTTAGGGTTTAGGGTTTAGGGTTTAGGGTTTAGGGTTTAGGGTTTAGGGTTTAGGGTTTAGGGTAGGGTTTAGGGTTTAGGGTTTAGGGTTCAGGGGTACAACCCCCCCCCCCCCCCCCCCAAGTTTTAGGATTAATTACGCCTTTTTAAGGTTGTTCAAAGGGCGAACGGGGGTAGTAGAGGAACCCATGAGCTTTTGTCTAGGGTCTATGGTCTCAGGCTTGGGTTTATGATCCATTTGGGCAGTTCTCTACATATGGTTCCTTTCTGGCGTTCCGTTTGCAATGTAGTCCAGTGTGGAGCCTTCGTACCCAAAGCGGCCATGATTCAGAGAACTGCCCATGTGAGGTGCTTCGAGATCATGGGCGGGGGAAGGGCGGAGGAGTTAGGGTTTTGAGTTGAGGAGCTGAGGAATGTGGATCTTCTTTCTAAAAGGATTCAGCAGCTTGAGAATATGGACCCGAAACCATAAACCCTTAACCCTAAACTTACCCTAAACCCCTAGAGAGTTACTTGAAGTGTTCGAGGGCTTCAACTTCTGAAAGGGCCCTCTCCGCGCCTTCACGGTCTGTCAGGGGGCCCATAATTGGGAAACCATTTCAATACTCATAGAATGGTACTAGAACCCCATAAGCCCTATAAACCCTACAAACCTTGACACTCCTCCATATTCCTTCGAGAATTCCTCTGCTATGACCCTGTGTTGGAAAGAAGGCTGGCTTGGAAAGGCGCTTGCTTCCATGCTCTTCGGATATGCAGGTGCCAACCCTAAACCCTAAACCCTAAACCCTAAACCCTAAACCCTAAACCCTAAACCCTCAACCCTCAACCCTAAACCCTAAACCCTAAACCCTAAACCCTAAACCCTAACCCTAAACCCTATAAACCCTAAACCCGAAACCGCACGCATACACGACGGCCTGAACGGAGAGCAGGGCTTGCAGGGCAGGACGGCTCGCCATCTGCGTCACGCTTCCTTGCTTAGTTGCCCAGTATCCTGGGGGGCTTAGGGTTTAGGGTTTAGGGTTTAGGGTTTAGGGTTTAGGGTTTAGGGTTTAGGGATTATATATATATATATATATACATATACACATATATATATAGGAGATATAATAGCCCAAAAAGGTTAAGAGGCTACCTACCCTGCTACTATAAGCTTCCTTGCAGTCACCTCTCGAAATTCCGGCCCCTCCCGTTTGCTTCCGAGTTCTTCTGCCATGATGGCGGCCATCTCTTGCGGGTGTAGGGCTCTTTGAGGGAGGTTTGGGCTCATACACCAGCGGATATGAGAAAGGGTCGGTACTCCCACTTCGTCTCCTCCGCTGACTGCGCGACTTTGAAGGCTGAGAGGTCCTAGATGCAAGCACTTGGTGTATAGGGAATCTCTGCATCTGCATCCCTGGAATGGAAGAAGCACCCTTAGCCCTTCAACCCTTGAACCCCTAAACCCTAAACCCTAAACCCTAAACCCTTAACCCTTAAACCCTAAACCCTAAGCCCTTCAACCCTACAGACCCTCAAGCCACACTTGCTGCGCACAGGGCGCAAATGGACAGCGGCGAATCAAGGCAGGGCCATTGCCGCTGCCAGGGCACGTCGTGCTCGTAGATTTGGGGGTTGAACTTGGAACTTTGATTGGGGATTAGGGCTTAGGGTGAATGACGGGTGGCTGCAACAAATCCGCAGACATCCAGGTCTGCAAGCTCTGGAGGAGATCTCTTACTTGGACGTCTCCTGCCCCTCACGTGAGATGTGCAACTGCTCTTGTCATGGCGGTCAGCAGAATGGCTGCGGAAGGTGGTGTTAGTAGCAGCTGGCCGCGGTTGAAGGCCTTGTCGGCAGACGCTACTACCAAAGCAACGATGACAGAAAAAACGAAATCAGTACACGGAAAAAGAAGAAGTCATAACGTAGCTTTACGTTCGTGAGTTGTTGCTAGAATGTTCCGCGGGGTTTACTGATGTTGCACCAGCATGAACCCACTCATAGGACTTCCCAATAGGCACAAGTAGTAGGCCCAACAGTAAACTCCAGAAAGTTGGAACATAGTTTAAGGATGGTTAGAGCTGGGATTCCCGGTAGCATACTTTTAGGGGTATGGGGAAACTTTTGGAACTTACTCCAAGACTTTATGCCCTGGGTTGGATGGTTCTGAACCCCTGTCAGTTCGAGCTATACTTAGGGATGCCTACCCAAGTGTGATGCCTACCCAAGTCTTGACCCCAGAACCAGGCGTAGTTCAAGCGACTTTCCCACGATCTCAAGGTTCAGTGCTAATATATATATATATATATAATGGATATGTATATGCCTATCTGTCTATCTATCTATCTACCTATCTATATAGCTATCTATGTTTATATACATATAACTACTCTACATAAACACAAAAGAGCCGATAACAACATACTTAACCTATGAATATATGTCTACATGGATTACAAATTACAGTGCTTCGGCGCTCTGTTTTTCCGTTCGGGCCAGGAGTCTTTGCCAGCTCGCATGAACCAAGGGCCATGAACCCCGCTACACATGACTTTGCCAGAAACATGCGGTTTAGGGTTTAGGGTTTGGGGTTTAGGGTTTGGGGTTTAGGGTTTCGGGTTTGGGGTTTCGGGTTTAGGTCGCGCAAGAGATGCTACCCGAACTCGCGGTAGAGCCAGAAGGCGTCCTGCTGCAGCTCTGAGACGAGGCTTGCCAGTGTCCGGCTTTGTGCTTGTTTGTTCTGGTGACTTAGGGTTTAGGGTTTAGGGTTTAGGGTTTAGGGTTTAGGGTTTAGGGTTTAGGGTTTAGGGTTTAGGGTTTAGGGTTTAGGGTTCTGGTGCCTTGACTTCAAGGGTTGCCCACAAGGCTTTGGGAGCTGAGGGCGGCTCTCAGTCGTAACTTTTTGGCCCCAAATCGTTCAGGCTTTAGGGGGCCTGGGGTTTAGGGTTTAACCCTAAACCCTAAACCCTAAACCCTAAACCCTAAACCCTAAACCCTAAACCCTAAACCCTAAACCCTATAGGCTCTAAAAGGTTTAGGGACTTCGAGTCCAGGGCTTCTAGGGGCTTTGCCCCTGAAGGGGTGTCCAGGGTCCTCCTCATGAAATCGCTCCTCCTCCTCGTTGGCAGCTTGCTCCTGTCCGTTTTCGGGCGTTGGTGTGTACCAAGGCTGGCTTTTGGAAAGATTTTGGGAGGCATTTCGAGAGAAAGATCTTCGCAAACCCCAGAGAATTCTGCAAGTAGACCCAAGAGTAACCTAGGAATACAAAGAGTGCCCCTTTCTGGTTAAAGGGAACCTAAAGGGTCCTCGGCAAGATATCCCAAGGGCCCTCCCCTGTTCAGCGCTTTAGTGGCTGAGACCTGTTGGGTCTTGAGGCTTCTTGGGCAGCCCCATATTTCCTGAAACCTGCATGCTTCTTCAGTTCCTGCTGGGAGCTATCAAGGTCTTGATGCCCTAAACCCTAAACCCTTCGCGAATTCGGAGGCTTTCAGGCCTTGAGCGGTCTGGCTGTTCTGGCGTCTGCCCTATGTATTTATAGCCCTAAAACCCTAAAGCCCAAACCCTAAATCCCTGAGAGCCCCCCTCGAAGGCCCTAAATTCCCAAACACCAAAGCTAGCAAGAGAGTACGCCTGGATGTAGATGTAGATGAAGACCTCGCTAAGCGAAGACACTGTAGGCATCGGATTTTGGCAAGTTTATAGGGATGGGTGTGTCTGGCCCTGAAGCACTGAACTCCGAGCCACGGTTTCCAGGTTCTCGGGCTCAAAATCGATGAGGTTTTGGGGCCGCCGCTACACCCTACACCCCCCCCCCTCAAGAATTGGGGTCATATATACCCTAAAATTACTGCTATAACCCCCAGAAAGGTACATGAACCACAAACCCTGTTGGGGCTCATTTTTAGTCAGGAGCTTTTTGCACCTTGGGTCGAACTCAGCTATAGGGCTCAGGATCCCCTAACACAACACTGCGAGCCCGAAAGATCCTAACTTCACGTACTAAATAACGTAAGGCACCCTAAAGTAGATCCGTAAATATCCCCAAATGCCCTAATGAATGTAGTATACCTTGCAAACCCCTTTAGAGCCGTTCTAGACCTAAGCAAACCCCTGCCAACCCCGACGCGAGGGATTTGTCTGCCAGGCCACAACCGCAATCACGATGAACAGTACGATGCCCAGGTACATCGGCCACGTCTCCTGCTTGGGGGCTGAATACCTTAGCCCAAAAAAGGCTAACCTTGCTTTTGTAATAGGGGTATATATAACCATTGAGGTTAAAGGTTAACCACCCAGCGCCTAATCCTGTAGGTTGGCGGTTTGGGGTCTAGGAGGGTTTAGGATTAAGAGGAACCCCTAACTTAGGCTTTAACGGGCCCCCCTCCCTCGTATGTCGCGATTTCTCTGGGCTTCCTTCGAAGACTATTTATCTTACAATATTCCTTGGACGTTGCCCAACCCTTTAAAGCTTCCTAAACTTAGGCACCCGGATCTATCCTTAAGCCGAATTCACCTTGAACCGCAATTAAACCCTGAGCCCTAAACCCTAAACCCCAAAACCCGTACTTCCTGAACCCTGAACCCTGAACCCCAAACCCCAACCCTAAACCCTAAACCCTAAACCCTAAACCCTAAACCCTAAACCCTAAACCCTAAACCCTAAGCCCTAAACCCTAAGCCCTGCAGCCTGCCTCTCCGCTGTGCAAGTGGCCGTTTGGCCCCAGGCCGGCGCGCCGCTGGAACCTGCAGGTTTTGCCAAGCCCTAAGCCCTAACCCCTAACCCCTAAGCCCTAAACCCTAAACCCTAAACCCTAAACTCTGAACCCTAAACCCTAAACCCAGACTAAACCAGCTGTTTGAGGCCTCTGGAGGATGCGCGCCAGGTCGGGCGAGAGCCTTTGCCAGAGTCCCGGGCTTTGGGGCTTGGCCTTTCAAAGGCATTTTTCCAAGGGGGCTTCGGAGTTTCGCCCTAAACCCTAAACCCTAAACCCTAAACCCTAAACCCTAAACCCTCTTGCCGAACGGTCACTGTTAGAGGTTGCTTTGTGCTTTGGAGAGTGCGGACACTGTGGCCCTTATAGGATTAAGTCGGGTTTGGACTTCGTTTGCACATTAATGATGGAATTGTGAAATTTGATGATCCAAACTCACACTTGGAAGGTTATGACAGTAATTTTGAGTTTGATTGGAAATGGGATTTAGCAATAACGGATGATTTGAAGACACATCAGCGACAGCATGTTATACCATGATGCATCAGGCGTTTTCGGATTTTTCATTGTGTTTGAATGATCCTTATTTTGTTTTGTGGCCTGGTTGTGCCAGGAAGACCTGAAGCAGCACCTGGAAATATGACTGTTTGTTCGTATACATTTAATGCCGGTGGATACAATATCTCAGCCTCTGAGAAGAATGTCAGAACGAAAGAATCACTCTAACAACATTATATCGCTTTAAATGATCCTTTGTTAAGAGATATCATTGCTTCGAGTTTGGGTGTGGTGATGGAAGACAGTCAAAATGATCCATTTGATACTGTAATGGGGGGAAACCCTAAACCCTAAACCCTAAACCCTAAACCCTAAACCCTAAACCCTAAACCCTAAACCCTAAACCCTAAACCCGAGATATGCTTCGATGTATGTTTAAAGGAGTGGATTAGTGATAATGGTTTGAGAGTGTGTTAACTGCCCGAGCCATCCTCTGCCAGGACCCCAAGCCCCAAAACACCCTACACCCTACACCCTACACCCTACACCCTAAACCCTAAACCCTAAACCCTAAACCCTAAACCCTACACCCTAAACCCTAAACCCTAAACCCTAAACCCTAAACCCTAAACCCTAAACCCTAAACCCTAAACCCTAAACCCTAAACCCTAAACCTAACCCAGAAAGGGTAGCACTCTGTTTCGGAGTTTCGCAGGACCTAGAACCCTTGTCTCCCAAACTCCAATAAACTGCCTTCAAGCCCTGAACCCTACTATGAGCCCTGGGGCCCGAAACCCTTTAGGGTTTAGGGTTTAGGGTTTAGGGTTTCGGGTTTAGGGTTTAGGGTTTAGGGTTTAGGGTTTAGGGTTTAGAACCCTGAATCCCCCACAAAAAACTAAAGCCCTCAAAAACTCAACCCCTAATCATGAACCCCAAAAACCTCAAGCCCATCATACGCCCAAAAAGACCCTGAAAGCCCCTACAGCCCTTAAACTCCTAAAGCCCTTATTGCGAAACCTAAGCCTGAAACCCCCTCGAGCCCCAAACCCCAAACCCCAGAACCCTAAACCCCAAACCCCAAACCCTAAACCCCTACTCATGAACCCTAAAGCCTAAAGCCTTGAACCCGTAAAAGACCCAACCTCCGCATCTCAAGCTGCCCCCCCCTTGCCTGATGTCCTTCTCGCCATCCTGCTGCGCCTCCGTGCAAGAAAGAAGCGAGCTCCTCTAGAGCTCAGACCCTATACGAATAAAGGGGGAGTTTAGGGTTTAAGGCTTAGGGATGTTTAGGGTTTAGGGTTCAGGGTTCAGGGGTTTAGGGGTTTAGGGTTGCAGGTTTTGTATCCTGTACAAATCCGGGGGGTTTGGGGTTTAGGGGTTTACGGCTGTTCAGGAGTGGAACCCTAGGACTAGCCCTAACCCCCTGGTGCACCCTCCCGAACTCGCGCCCCCAGCGAGTGACCAATCCTTAGAACGGGAAACTGCAGAAGCTTGACCCAAAACGAATGACAAAGGTTTAGGGTTTGCGGGCTAGGGGTTTGCATAGGGCCTCTGATAGGCGGCCCATGTAGGGGCGTTTCGGGTTTCGAGTTCGGTTTTTTGGTTTATCGTGAGCAATACCACAAAAGGAGGCAATGGTGATTCTAGCACCTCCTTCATAGAACCCCTAGTCACCGCAGAGCCCACACCCTCACCTAAGCCCCCCAGCTGCCAAGACCCTGATCCGATAAACCCTAAACCCAACATTCTCCAAACCCTAAACCCTAAACCCCATTAGCCTAAACCCTAAACCCTAAACCCTAAACCCTAAACCCTAAACCCTAAACCCTAAACCCTAAACCCTAAACCCTAAACCCTAAACCCTAAACCCTAAACCCTAAACCCTAAACCCTAAACCCTAAACCCGAAACCCAACATTCTCCAAACCCTAAACCCTAAACCCTAAACCCTAAACCCTAATGCCCTTAAACAGACCCCCAAAGAATCGATTCAAGCCCCAGAACCCTGCAAGTACACCGAGTTTAGGGTTTAGGGTCTAGGGTACTCGAATAGCAGCGCAACAATGCACCCGCCTTGAGCACGTGACAGAGCTCCTGAAACTCACCCTAAGGGTCTAGGGTTTAGGGTTTAGGGTTTAGGATTTATTACGGTACCTCCTATACAGGGACTTTAGGGCCCAAGTATATAATCATGAGGTACATGGACCCTTAGGGGAAGAAGGCTGAGGTGATAATTGACAAGGTTTAAGAGTTAGGGCTCGGTGGATGTCGGGTTGAGATGTTTCCCTAAACCCTACTAAACCCTAAACCCGGGTACAGGGCGCAACATGAGCTCAGCATCTCCGAAGCGTCGGCGATCTATAAATCCCCCTGCTCAGGGTGGATAAACACTCTGGTGCATGTTAGGCATAGGCCCATATATATATATATGTATTTATAGGTGTATTATATGTGTATAACACGCAGAAAGGTTTTGCAAAAACTGCCGTGGGCTGCGTACCTTGAGGTCGAAAGGGTTGTCCCTGAACTTAACCGAAGTTCGTTCAATTCACAAAACCCTAAAGGGTCCATGTACCTAATTATTATACACTTGGGCCTTAGAGTACCTCCTTTACAGGGACTCCAGGGCTCAACTATATCATCATGAGGTACATGGACCCTTAGGGAATTGTATCCACTCGCGAAAGAACGGCGAGGGTCAGACCCAGCAACTGCTGCTGCCTATGCTTCCACATCCCAATATCTCGGTAAAGCCCTATACACCCTAAACCCAAACCTCGAACCCTAAATCCAAAAACTCCCATCCCCTCCCGGTCCACTTCGTAGGTGGACTTATGATGTGTTGGGGGATGCCGTGGATACTTTGGGAAGGTCATGATGAGGGGGGGAATTAGGGCCTGAACCCTCCGTACAACTCTGACTCCAACAAGCTCTCTGCTCCTCGCGTTGCTGGTGGCTCAGTTCCGACAGTAAGGCCTGTGCCAGTTCTGTGGATACTTTTCCGAATGAGGACTCTTTGATATTAGCTGCTTTGGCTGCGGGAGCGCATTTGAGCTTTTGTGTGCCGGGCGGGTGGCGTCTAAACACCCTTTCTGAAGCCCAGTCTGCCGTCGGTCTTCATCTACAACAAGAACTTGATATCGGCGTTCGGCGGTTCTGGTGTTTTTATGAGAGGCATGATGAAGCACCATGACCTGAAACACACCGAACCTAAACCCTAAGTCCTTGAGACCCTGTAAATCCGAAATCCTTTCGCCCTGTGTAGTTCTGACTCGTGAATTCACACCGCGTACCTACAAAGCCCCAGAAGCCCTACAAAGGCCCCTGGCAGTCCTCTAAACACTGCCTCACAAGCCTATCTGAGGGTTTCCGAAAATAGGGGACCCCTAAAATAGACCCCCACAATTGTAGGATTCCCTTATAATCAGGACCCCAAATTTCGGAAACCCCCAAATAAACCCTAACCCCTAAACCCTAAACCCCAAACCCTAAACCCTAAACCCTAAACCCCAAACCCTAAACCCTAAACTCTAAACCCTAAACCCTAAACCCTAAACCCTAAACCCTAAACCCTAAACCCTAAACCAAGCAACGGGGCCGAGAAGCCTTGGTCTGTTCAGCCGACAGCTCCCGCTTGGGTTCCTTTTCCTTAGGAGGAGGTGGAGGAGGGTTTAGGGTTTAGGGTTTAGGCTTTAGGCTTTAGGCTTTAGGGTTAGGAGGAATGACATATCCCAAGGGCCTACTGAACCTAGAGATACAAGCAGCTGTTCAAATGATGAATTGTTATGGCCCTTCCCTTTAGAGTGTGGAACTGGAGACGTGTACCAGATTCAGTTCTCGCGCTTAGGCTTAAAGTCCATCACTCTCTGAATCAAACCCTAACATGATGCGTAAACACATGTCTTCCTCCAGCGCGACTGGGTGCGCTGCAGTGGCATCGGGCTCGTTGATGGACGGGCTGCCTTGCAGGAGCGTTTCAATCTGGGACCATCTGCTGGGGTCCTCCTTGATAACAGTTGGGTAAAAAAAAGACAGTTGTTGCGGGTGTCGTGGTCCCTTAAACCCTCAACCCTCAACCCTAAACCCTCAACCGCCCCAATAGGGATCAGAGTACTGGTAGAATACTTGCTAGATCCCAGTATGGCTTGCGCTAGGATGGCCCCTACAACCCTCTGAAACACATTCCTGAAGATGATCCTCTTAAAACCCAATAAGGGGAAAAACATGTCCCAAGGGCCTACCTAATTAGATCATAAATAACAATACTGTACAAGAATGTATAATCAGAATATGTACTCATAACACATAATCAGAAGCAATCCCTAACAAGATTAAGACAGTGGCCTCGAAGGCCCTGCGACCGCTCGAACTCGTCAACAAGGTCCGCAATCTCGTCTTCCATGGCGACACAAGGAGGGGGCCCCTTGTTGAGGTGGGAGTATTGCAAAAAGGCTTCAATCATAAAGATGCAAGTGAAGTCATGCAACAGGGCTTCAAGACTAACGATATCAGCTACCAGCTATGACTCTCCGCGACCCGAAATGGACTTCCTACAGGTTGCCATGTCACTGCCGACTGCGGGAAGCTTCCTTTGAGCCGGCAAGAGTAGTCAAACCGAAAACCGCTAAACCCTATAGCCCTTTCGATTGGGATGGTCCCCCTTATACCAACAGTCCTTCAGAGGGATCTTAATAGGGTGATACTGTAATCCCTACTAAGGACTGTCAATAAAACGGGAACATCCCATCCCAACCTATAGGTCCTAAACCCTATAGATACCAAACCCTAAGCCCTGTCAAGCCTAGCCGCGGTTGGGGCTCTGGGACAGATCCCCCAAAATCACAACCACACAATTTTGGTTAGCTCCTTTTTGGGCTCCTTATTATATCTACTGGGGGACTGCCCCTAAACCCTAAACCCTAAACCCTAAACCCACAAAAGGAGCCTAATCTAGTGAACTACCCATCTGTTCAAAAAGCCATTTCGGGTCCAGGGAGAGCTTCTCAGGGTTGATGCAGGGTTTAAGGTTTAAGTAGGTTTACGGGCTTAGGGTTTAGGCTAGGGTTTAGGGTTTAGGCTAGGGTTCAGGGTTTAGGGTTTAGGTATTAAGATTTAGGGTTTAGGGTTTAGGGTTCATGAAGGCCGGTGTAGGGTACAGTGTTTATAGGGTTTAAAGTATCGGGATGAACGAAAACGGGCTTGGCTGCAGCCGCTGGTTTCGCGATCAGGCACGGCCGTCGTCACATCGCATCGGTCTTTCACATCTCTTTGCTAGGATGTCATAGCCATCCGGAGCAACCCCAAGACTCTAAGCCCTAAACCCTAAACCCGAACCCTAAACCCTAAACCCTCTAACTGCAAACCACATCCCCACGAGGCGCGCAGAGACCTTGCTGCTCACTACGACTCCTTCAGCGGCTTTGACCCAAGGAGACGCATCACCTCGGCTTCGGGCAAAGGGCCGTTACGTAAAGGGACTCAGGGATTCAGGGGTAGGGCTTGTCAGGGGGTTTAGGGTTTTGGGTTTTTGGTTTAGGGTTTAGGGTTTAGGGTTTAGGGTTTAGGGTTTAGGGTTTGGGCTTGAGGGGATAGGCCCGGGTGCGCAGTTTGGGGGCTTAGGATTTGGGACTCGGGCTTGACAGGGCCAGGGTGTCGAGGGCTTGGGGCTTGGGATCTGCCGGGTTCGGGATAGGGTTTTGGGGGGGGGGGGGGTTAGGGTTTAGGGTTTAGGAATTAGGGTTTAGGGTTTAGGATTTAGGGTTTAGGGGGATTAGGGTTCAGGGTACCATGGTGGAGAGTGTGTGGCTTGGAATGTTTGGGATTCGGGGGCTTTGCCTCGTTCGAGAAACAGAACCCAGAAGCCTGAGCTGTACGCTATCGAACCCCCCTTATAAACCCTAAACCCTCAACCCCAAACCCTAAACCCCAAACCCTAAAACCCCAAACCCTAAACCCCAAACCCGAAACCCTAAACCCTAAACCCCAAACCCTAAACCCCAAACCCAGAAACCCTAAACCCTACCTGCCAAGGGCGCAGCCCTCTCCTCCTCACCTCTGCGGTCCGAGGCTGTCCTGTGCAAATTCCAGAGCATCCCTCCGTCCCTCCTATGGAGGGTTTAGGGTTTAGGGTTTAGGGTTTAGGGTTTAGGGTTTAGGGTTTAGGGTTTAGGGTTTAGGGTTTAGGCTGCGTGTCCTTAATAGGGGTTCTGATAAGGGGTCCTAAAATCCCTATTTAGGACTGCTACTACAAAGGGGAACATCCCAAGGAGGGACCCTTATAAGGGACCTTAGGGGCTATTTGGGGCTTGTTCAGGGGCTACATAGGTGGGACTACATAAGGTATCTATGGGGCTTTTCCTGGGGGAATGGCCCTTCTAGGGGTCCCTCCTTTAGCCATGAACAGGCTGCGTCCCTGGGAGTCCAGCAACCATAGTGGGGATCCCAAGATCCGAGATCCGAGAGACGACAAAAACCCGAAAACCCAAGACAAACACACCCACTACATGCGCAAACCTCAGTGCCCCTAAACCCCAAACTCTAAACCCTAAACCCTAAGCCCATCCTGACTGCCACCCACGCAACGTGGGGAAAGGTATCCAGGTCCGTGGAATCGACGCTGCTCGGGGCCCGCAGCCACCTCTGCAGGAGGCTTGGGGTGTGGACCATGGGGTTTAGGGTTTAGGGTTTAGGTTTAGGGTTTAGGGTTTAGGGTTTAGGGTTTAGGGTTTAGGGTTTAGGGTTTAGGGTTTAGGGTTTAGGGTTTAGGGTTTAGGGTTTAGGGTTTAGGGTTTAGGGCCTTAGAGTCGACTTGGGCAGAGAAGTCTGTATCATAGTGACTGCCACAAGATCAAGCTTACGAAACGAAGAGTCCCCCATAAGGAGGGTTCTTCAGTGCGCCTCCGAGCCTCCGAGCCCTGAAGCTCTGCAACACCCAACGCTCAACCCAAGAACCCTACAGTCTACAAGCCCCAAAACACCTGAAACCCTAAAAAAACTTAGCAGAAATCTGTTGATTTCTTATAACCCATATGCTCTGCGACCCCGAGCTCTTCAGCCCAAAGCTTTTTTTCAAGCTGCAACCCGAAACCCCAAACACTACCGCCCTAAACCCTAGAAACCCCCAAACCCTCAAAACGCAAAGCCCTAAACCCTGAAACCCGAAACCCGACTGGGTTTCTGGGCTCCTGGGTGAAGGAGCCATACGCATACAGCGCCCAGAACCAGCCTTGCAAGCAGGGTTTAGGGTTTAGGGTTTAGGGTTTAGGGTTTAGGGTTTAGGGTTTAGGGTTTAGGGTTTAGGGTTTAGGGTTTAGGGTTTAGGGTTTAGGGTTTAGGGTTTAGGGTTTAGGGTTTAGGGTTGAAGGATGCTTTGCTGGTGCTTTGGGCTTGTAGGTTCAGCCTGCAGGGCTACGGGCCACAGTCTTGGGTACAGGGTGTGGCTGAGGCACCCTGAACCCTAAACCCTAAACCCTAAACCCTAAACCCTAAACCCTGAACCCTAGGCGATCTGGGCTGGCTGCTGCCATCCTCCGCGTTTTTCTCACCAAGGATGCTCTGGGCCTAAGATTTCAAAGGAGTTTCAGGGGTTTAAGGTTTAGGCTTTAGGGGTTTACCCTAAACCCTAAACCCTAAACCCTAAACCCTAAACCCTAAACCCTAAACCCTAAACCCTAAACCCTAAACCCTAAACCCTTGGGAAGACTTCGGGCTTTAAGGGTTCAGGGTCTGAGGGTTGGTAAACCCTTTCGGTCTTGTGGTTCGACATCTTTTTGATCTTGGAGGGTAGGCTTCACGTTTCGGAGTTAGCTCTTGCTTGGGGTTTAGGGTTTAGGGTTTAGGGTTTGGGGTTTGGGGTTTAGGGTTTAGGGTTTAGGGTTTAGGGTTTAGGGTTTAGGGTCCGCCGACCCTGGCGGCGTGTTGGATGGGAAAAGGAGGTGAAAACCTCCCTCTTTCCCTCCTTAAAGGGGGGGAGCGGGGGGGGTACCCGGGCAGCTTTTCCATGGAGGGCCAGGCCACCCACACCGCATAAACTCACGGAGCATAGGCGGTTTCGCACAGGACATAGGGGTCCTTTTGGGAAAAACCCAGCCCTCCCCCCTACCCCCCCTCACGTTTCTTTCCCCAACACCCCCCCCCCCCTCACCCCCCCTACCCCCCCGCGTCAGGCCGTTGGGCTTGAATTGATGGGGCTGCCCTCCTTCAAGCTGGCTTCAGCTCCTGTTTGGGTCCTGGTGCTCCCCCCCCTTCACAGAGGCTGAAGCAAATCAACTTTTGGCATCCTTAAACCTTTCAACTATGCTCCAGCGGGGTCGGCGGCTTGAGCCGGAGGCTCTTAAATTTAGGGTTTAGGGTTTAGGGTTTGTAAGTAGGGAGCTAGTAACTACAGCTTTTCGGGTTTAGAGCTCTCCGTCTTCATGGAACCTCCCTCTCCCCTCCAAAAGACAGTAAAGAAGCTGAATCCACAAACCAAAGCCAGCGCATGCTACCCTAAACCCTAAACCCTAAACACCCTAAACCCCAAACCCTAAACCCTAAACCCCAAACCCTAAACCCTAAACCCGAAACCCTAAACACCCCAAGCATCCTAGCCTCAAACCGCAACCTCCAAGCCCAAAAAATCCGCAGAAGCCTGGCGCCTAAAAGCGCCCCCATTTCAGACTCGAAACTTCGGATGTTCCCCCTTATAACTAGCAGTCCTTAATAGGGATTATAGTACCCCCAATGAAAATCCCTATTAAGGACTGCTAGTAAACGGGGGAACATCCCAACTCGAAACCCTAAACCCCCCCCCCCCCCCAGAAATCCTCAATCACACGCCCTGAACTTCTAAACTCAAAGCCCTAGGTCCAAGGCCCGGCAGCCCCAAACCCTCGATCCGAAAACCCCTTTACACAAAAGGAAGCCTAAACCCCTACACCACCCAATCCCTAAACCCTAAACCCTAAACCCTAAACCCTAAACCCTAAACCCTTCGCCCCCTAAACCCCTAAAAAACAAGGAAAAGCTGAGGAGGCTTCCATATGGCCAAACTCGCCCCCGTAGTCGTCAAACTCGATCCCACCCTCCTGGCGAGTGTTCACACGAAAGGGCTTCTGGGCCCGGGGCTTGGGGTTTAGGGTTCAGGGTTCAGAGTTTAGGGTTTTAGGGTTTTAGGGTTTAGGGTTTAGGGTTTAGGGTTTAGGGTTTAGGGCTTAGGGTGGCTTGGGGCTGCAAGGTTTGGGGTTGAAAAGGTTTCGGGTCTAAAGGCTGGGGGCTTCGGGTTTCAAGGTTTAGGGTTTAGGGTTTAGGGTTTAGGGTTTAGGGTTTAGGGTTTAGGGTTTAGGGTTTAGGGTTTAGGGTTTAGGGTTTAGGGTTTAGGGCTGGAAGGTTTAGGCTTTAGGGCTTCAAGACATGGGGTTTAGGGCTACAAGGCTTAGGGGCTTGGAGTTTCGGATGTAAGGTGGGAACCCTAAACCCTCCCCCCTAAGCCCTAAACCCTAAACCCTAAACCCTATACCCTTGCGAGCTTTTGGCGCCTTGTTTCGGAGCACATCGATATTCCAGATTGCTTCTGCGACTTGCATCCCCCAAATCCTAAACCCTAAAACCCGAAACCCAAGATGGCCTCACACTAAACCTAAACTAGGCTGCCGAGTAACCTAGGCTTAAAAAGGGTGCCCGTTTTTGCTGAAAGGGGTTTATAAGGGAACCTAAACCCCCCAAAAAGGGAATAAGGGCACTACTGGGCATCCTAGTAAACACCAAGCACTAAGCCCTAAACCTGTGACCCTACTTTAACCCCATGAGCCCTGAAGCCGCATGCATCTTAAGCCCAGAAGAATCCCCCCCCCCCCCCCAAAACCCCTAACGGGTGTAGGGTTCATAGGGTTCAGGGTTTAGGGTTTAGGGGACAGGGTCTAGGGTTTAGTGTTTTGGGTTGTGGGTTTAGGGTGTCGCAAAAATTACACACTGAGTCTCTAACCGCCGTCAGAGGCATAGAGGCTCCAATCCACAAAGCCTATTCTCACAGCCTTAACCCTAAACCTTCATGCAGCCCAAATTACGCTGCCTAAACTAAGCCTGAATTAATTAAACCCTCCGAACTTCCAACTTCCAAGCCCCTTAAGTTCGGGTTGTTGCAAGAAGGGGGTTCATGGGGAGTAGAGGGAGGCATTAGGGAACCTTGGGTTACATGCCCCCCTTGAACCCCTCCCTTAAGAACCCTATAATAAGAAACCCGAAGCCCTAAACCCTAAACCCTAAACCCTAAACCCTAAACCCTAAACCCTAAACCCTAAACCCTAAACCCTAAACCCTAAACCCTAAACCCTAAACCCTTGGGGGGGCGTCTGGTGGCCTCCTCTGCCAGGAGCTGCTCAGTCAGCTGGAAAGCAGAGGTAAGTTCCGCAGAGGGCTTGGCTGAGAAGACGACCTCCACAGGAGGCGTTCGGGAGCACTGTGGCTCTTTAAAACAGAACCGCCGAAAAGGGTTTAGGGTTTAGGGTTCAGGGTTTAGGGTTTCGGGCTTAAGGTTTCAAGACCTCAAAACAAATCGATTCCCTGTGCAGTTCGGGTTTGGGAGTTCGGGATGTCTAGAGCTGCAAGAGGGAGAGCACGTCGGATGTTTGCGAACCAACATGGCACCTGTCCTGCCTGTCCTTCCCGTGGGCTTAGGGTTTAGGGTTTAGGGTTTAGGGTTTAGGGTTTAGGGTTTAGGGTTTAGGGTTTAGGGTTTAGGGTTAGTTGTACTACATCCTCAAAAGGGAAGGCGAATGCTGGGGGGGGGGGGAGAAGGGGACGTGAGATGAAACTGTACTGCTGCGTGCCACGAGCAGGCAGACCAGCCGCATGTGGTCACACGATATTTGAGACCACGTGCTACGGTAGACCCATACCCAAACCCCAAGCAGAGGCAAGTTTTCGATGGACGCCGCCGCGCAGCGTGAGACGGCAAGCGGCTGTGGGCAGTATTAGTCTGATCTGCTCTTGTCGGGAGCTTGGGAGGAAGGCCCTGTAGTATAGGGTTTAGGGTTTAGGGTTGGGAGTTGGGGGTGATTATAGGACATAATCATAAAGGGACCCTATGGGACTCCTATTAGGAATTATTCCGACCCCTATAGTACTTGGGAGTTTCGGGTTTGTGGCAATACAGTAGTGACTGCCATCAGCGCTGGCCATCTCAGAATAGGGGGCACATCAGCATGATAGAGCTTGATGCACCAGAAACTGATTCAACCAGGGAGAATGTCTCTGAGCTGGTGTAAGGTAGTGCAAGAAGCCCTAAACCCTAATTAAACCCTAAACCCTAAACCCTAAACCCCTAAACCCCTAAACCCCTAAACCCCTAAACCCTAAACCCTAAACCCTGACCGTCTCTGAACTGGGGTCAAGTACAATCGCGCGCAAGAAGCCTTCATCAACAACCGCACCAAGAGACAAACCACTGGGAGCCTGAGCCCAATCCCGCAGAAGCCCGAAGCCCTATAACCTTGGGCGCCAAATGAACCCTAAAAGGGTTTAGGGTTTAGGGTTTAGGGTTTTCATATACCTTGATAGTAGTATAGGGTATATGTCTCCAATTTTCAGGTTCATCCAGGCCCCAAGGAAGCCCGAAACCCGCTGTATCTTCACAAGGCCAGAGCGGCAGCGAAGGACTTGGCCTTCGGCTACCCACGCCAAGGCCACGTGAACTATGTACAACCGAAATTCACCACTAATCCTATAGGCCCTAAACCCAATAAACCCATGTAAACCCTGAACTCCATACATCCTACATCCTCATCCTGTAAGCCCTACATCCTACAGACCCTAATCCTCTAAACTCTAAGCCCTGAACCCTAAACAGCCGAAACCCCAAGCCTTCTGAACCACTTAAACCCTCAACCCTCAACGGTATACCCTAATAATCGTAATGCCAGAACAATAAGCACCTGCTTCGACTCTAGTCGTGAAGACCCTTCGAGATCTTCCTGGCTAAGGTCTCATAGCGCGTCCTCGCCAGGATCAGGCTGAACCTGGGTTTAAGCTTAGGGTAAAGGCTGAGGGTTTAGGGTTTAGGGATGTTTTAGAGTTTCGGGTAAAACGATGAACTATTGAAATTCTGGTTTTTAGGAGCTCTGCTGCGAAAAGCGGGGTTTCGTGTGCAGGGTGGAAGGGCTTGAGGCCTTGTAAGCCCTAAACCCTAAACCCTAAACCCTGAACCCCCAAGCAGGCCTTGCATCGGGTTGTTGGGTATAGGCTCTGAGGACCCAAAGCCCAAAACGCCTAAGCCGGCCGCCTGAGTTTAGGTTTTAGGGTTTAGGGTTTAGGGTTTAGGGCTCAGGGTTGAGGATGTATAGATTTGAGGGTTTGGGGTCATTGAATTGGGATGAGTGAAAATTCAAAAAGGTTGCTGCTGAAAGCCCAAGGAACACGAAAACTGCGACCGACGTGCCGATGCCGAACGCATACCTCGGTAGAATGCTGCCAACAGGGCCCCCAGGGGTCGAGGGTCTTAGGGTAGTCACATGGCCCTTAATATGGGACTTTAGAAGGGGACCCTTTGTATATATACCCCTTATATACCCCATACAAATTAAGGGCCCATACACCAGAAACCAGTAAAGGAGGTAAGGGAGCAGGTCAGCATACCAAAGCCCTTCTTCTCAACCTCACCGCATGGGTACCTGGAGGTTCATGGTACTTATTAAGCAATCATAACTGTACTTCTAAGTGCACTTATAACCATACTAGGGCACTTAGGGCTTATCAGTGGGTTGTAAGTACAGTTGTAATTGGTTCATAAGTACCAGGAACCTGCAAGTACAATCTTCTGTTCGGTTGTTGAAAGCAACAGAGCCCCTTGTAGGCAGCTCCAACGAACCCAAGGCCCCCTTGACCCTTGAAGCCTATACTTCAACACCCCCAAACCCCAGCCTGCACAGCTCAGCGTTTAGGGTCTGGGGTCTGGGGTCTAGGGTCCCTAAACCCTAAGGCCCTAGACCTTTCTTCCCAGCCGAAGCTCCAAACGCCGCGAACGCCAAACCCGAAGTGAAAGGCGAGGGCATACCCGGTCGGAAGCATCAGGCCATAGTAGCTCAACAGATAGACGACCTGACAAGGCGGGGGGAGGGGGGGGGAGGGGAGGCCACAGTAGCTCAACAGATAAACGACCTGACATGGGGAGGGGGAGCTTAGGATTCTCAGCGGGCACATTCGTAGTAAAATTATGGAATTAGGGACCCCAAAACCCAGCTAGTATAATTCCGGTACGCAACCCACAGTAGTACTACAAATGGATCCTCTGGGATTGAAACGGAAACCAAAAATGTCGAACCCAGAGTGGCCACCAACTAATCCGAATGCGATCAACTCCTGCAGGGTTTAAGGTTTAGGGTGTAGGGTTTAGGGCTCAGGGCTTTCGGAACAGAAGGGCTCATCCCTTCTCTGCTGCAAAAAGCATGCTACTTCTGCGTGCCCCGACATCAATGTGTCTTCAGGGCTTAGGCTTATAGGGACTAGGGACACTATAAGCTACATCTAAACCCGAGAAACCCCCCCAAACCCGAACTACCCCCCATGTGGCAGAGGCACGCTTCCTGCTGCCATCTTCCCCATGCCACGTAGGGCGCCAGACATGATGTGCTGCGTGGTGTCCGGGAGGCCGGCCTTGTAAAAAGATTGCTGCCGCGCAAGAAAAAAACTCTAAGTGTTTCGGGGTTATTAGGGTTTACGAGGTTTACGGGGTTTTACGGGGTTTGTAGGGCTTGTAGGGCTTATAGGGGTTTTATAGGGCTTATCGGAGGGTTTATAGGGTTTAGACCGCTAGGGCTTTGGGTTTTTGCAGGGTTCAGTACTTTCTCATAGATCCACAATTCCTTCAGTCGCAAAGACAAGGCTGCTATGACGAGTTTGGAAAGAATCGACATGCTATTTGACGCCGTTCCTCTTGACTGCAAAAAAACAAGTTGACTGGAAATCTACATGGACAACTGACGCCATCATACTTCTTGGGTGCATTGTATAGATGTCTCTCAGTGGTGTCAAAAGTGCCTGTTCGATGGGTTTGGAAAGGATGCTTCGAAAGCCAGCTCAGCCGCAAAAAGCCCTCATGCTGTCAACCCTCCATCCTGGAGTTGTGGGCACATGGTTGAGGGTCTAGCGCTTTATGGGGTATAGGGCTCTATATCGGATTGCTTTTTCGGGGACGTTTAAGACTTCAGGGGCTGGTGAGGCCCAAATTACGTTGAGGGCTATGGTTGTCTGTCAGGCGCGAAGGCAAAGATCACCAGCAGGCTCTGCATCAGTATCGACACCTCACGTCGGGGACGTGATTCGAACCCCTCCTCCAAGTTGCATGCCTCGAAGCCCTGACAATACTCAAGTTAGATCCAAAAGGCATATCTGAACCCGAAGCTGTGTTCCCCTAATAAAGGCCAGAGCAGGGTTTGTAAGGCTAACACGGCAACCCAAACCACCCAACATGAAGCAGTTTTCCCAACCGTCCAGGTCTTGCACCTAAGAATGCTTCTCCGGCACATGGGGCACGACTACTTTGTGGTTGAAGGCAAAGTTTCCGGTTCCGGGGATAGCTCTTTGGTCTTGAAGGGTGAAGGGGTTTCGGGCTTGGGGTTTACAATCTGGGAGCTCCACGACTTCTGCAAGGTCTTGCGAGGTTGGAGTTGTTCCGAATGTTTGGGCCGACCTATATGTCCTCGTGTTGCAAGTGTTAGAGATTACCTTGAAAGCCCAAGAACCTACCTTCTCAGAAGCCAAGGCGCTCCCGGTTAGACCCAAACCCCCAAACCCCAAACCCCAAACCCCAAACCCCAAACCCCAAACCCCAAACCCTAACCTTAAACCTTAAACCCTAAACCCTAAACCCTAAACCCGAAACCTTCAAGGAAGGCTTTATGGCAGATCGCGTTGTAAAGTCCTCAGCCCCCCTTCGTCCCCTCAACCCGAAAAGGCCTCTCCAGGCCGCACGTACATCGACGCCACAGCATGGTTCCCACACCTCGCAACGCGCAGGTAGGGCTCTAGCTTGGGCTTTGGGCTTTGGGCTTTGGGGCTTTGGGCTTTGGGCTTTGGGGCTTTGGACTTTGGGCTTTGGGCTTTGGTCTTTGGGCTTTGGGCTTTGGGCTTTGGGATTTGGGCTCTGGGCTTTGGGCTTTGGGCTTTGGGTTTTGGGTTTTGGGCTTTGGGTTTTGGGTTTTGGGACCACATGAACCCTAGAAGGGCTGATGCTTCATGCACCGCATTAGGGGCTAAAGTAGTATGGGGTGTGTGACCCCAATTTCGGTCCCCAAGGTAGAGGGCTTTGTAGGGCCCTTTTGTGGCTTCATAGGGGCTTCGGGCTGCTTAGGGTTTAGGGTTTAGGGTTTAGGGTTTAGGGTTTAGGGTTTCGGGTTTAGGGTTTCGGGTTTAGGGTTTAGGGTTACGGTGGAAGCTAAGTCCCTGAACCCAAGAGCGGCTTCGACGCGCCGAAGTCAGTGGTGCAGAGAGGGGTCACGAGGCTCGAAGGGTTTAGGGTCTAGGGTCTAGGGTTTAGGGTTTAGGGTCTCTAGGGTCTAGGGTTTAGGTTATTCGTGGGTCGGGTCCTTGTCGGCTGGATCATCGAGTGCCAAGGGGGTCTAGGGATTTGGGGTCGGAACAGGTCTTAAAGGGTTTAGGGTTGGGATGTTCCGCCTTACACTAGCAGCCCTCTATGGGGATGATAGAATATCTCGGCGAGAATCCCTGTTCAGGACTGTTAGAAAAAGGGGAACCTCCCAAGGTTTAGGGTTGAAGGGCCCTTGAATGGGCTTGGCGTTGAAGGGGTTTGAGGGTGTCGAGTTGCGCGCTGAGGGCTTGGAGGATTCAGAACTTGAGGATATCTATGGCTAGCCAAGGCGCAACACTCCAAGCGCAATCGTCAGCCAAACCAGGAGGTTGCAGAAGATGCAGGCCTTCACGTAGCGACGAGCGTCTGTAGGCCTGCACAGATCTGGCAACAGTGGGGAGTGAACCCTTGAACCCTAAGCCTTCTAAACCTTGGGATGCTCTCCCATTTTTCTAACCGTCCTGAACAAGTAAAATCCCTATTAAGGCCTGTTAGCATAAGGGTGAACATCCCAACCTAAACCCTACAATGGGCCTTTTTCGACCCACATTAACCCCCAAACCCTAACAGCCCTCCACCTAAATCCGAAACCCTAAAACCTATACCCTAAACCCTATATAAACCCTGAACCCTAAGTCCTAAACTCAAGGATGTAGTTTCAAGCCTCGGGGGCTTGGGGGGTCAAGGGTTCGGAAAGCTCTCCCACTCCGACTCTCACAACTGCCTCGGGGGCCGCCTGAATCTCGAAAATCGGGGTCATATAGACCCTCTACTAGAATCCCTAGTAAGGTATTGTGAACCCTAAACCCTAAACTTGCCCTAAACCCAAAACCCTAAACCCTCAAACCTAATAGGGTTTCATTCGGTCCCCCTAAGGGTTGTCGCCTGTTGGCCCCGAGCATCTTCCCGATCAGCGCGGCCGCTGCGGAGGAGATGCCCATGGCCGGCATGAAGCTCAGCCCGATGAACCTTGCTAGGGTTTAGGGTTTAGGGTTTAGGGTTTAGGGTTCTGGGTTTAGGGTTTAGGGTTCAGGGTTTGTAGGAGTGTTGGGGTTTGGGATTTAGGGGTTTTGGGTCTTGGGGTTAGGGCTTGCTTTGGGATTATTTTATTCTTTTTTTTTTTTTTTTTGGGGGGGGGGGGGGTGGATACCGGACTTGGAGTTCCGGTATGTTTGTGGTCTTTTTTCATGGTTATGAATTTGCGCGGGGTTCTGCAACATGTGGGATGTGAGGCATGGTGCAACTGTACTTATTGCTGATCGGGCTTATGGCCACGCACGGGGACGAAACAAAAACACCAAACCCAGAACCCGAAAAACCAAGCCCCCCCAAGCGCCTAAACACCCTACACCTCGGTCGAGCAAGGGGGCTGGTTCGCAGCCACGTGCGCGGCGAGGGGCACCGTGCCCAAGAAGCCCACCAACAGGGCGTTGATCTCCCAGAACCACCACTCGCTGCTCATCTGCAGCACGCAAGGCAGCGCCACCTTGAGATACTTCCCCCATTCTTGAAAGGTTCCCTTGCCGGGGAAAAATACATCTCGGCGTGTCATACCCAACTTTGGGGCGATTTTCATGACGTAGAGGCTGATAAGGAACCACTGCGTGGTCCAGGTCATTGCGTTTGCGTAGCCTGCCCCCGTGTTGCCCAGGCCCATCTTCGCCACGAAGATGGTGCACCACACCACGTGCAAAAGCGAGGTGAAGATGTTGATGATCAGCGGCGGAGTCGTGATGCACTGGTTCTGCAAGAACTTGGCCAGAGCCTGAGCAAATAAGGCAAGACAGCTGCAAAGTCCCTAAACTCCGTAAACCCTGCCCGGCCTGGTATTGGAAGAGGCAGAAGAGTGCTGGGGCGGTGGCGCGGTTGTAGTGCGACGCAAGCATCGAGACCTGCTGCGCTTTGCTGGTTAGGGTTTAGGGTCTAGGGATACACATGAACACACAGACATATATATATATATATATACATATATATATATAGAGAGAGAGAGATAAATGAGTATCATAACAATGCTTTTACACAATTCTACACTTCTACATAATTGTATGTGGTGGTTGCTCTAAATTCGGGTCCCTTTTAGGGATAACAAGGCGGCCCCTCTTAGTTAGGGTACCCAAAAGAAGGCACCACTATTTTGAGAAACTTACCATAGAATGGTAGGCTTCCAGGCTTCTAAGATGCAAAAGGGTGTGGAGGCCTCAACCGAGAGGGCCTCTGTTCGCAGCGCAGGAGACTGCCATGTTTTTCACGGGCTTTTGATCGGGTTCAGGGTTTAGGGTTTGAGGTTTAGGGTTTAGGGTTTAGGGTTTAGGGTTTAGGGTTTAGGGCAAAGTTAGGCCATGCCGCGTTCGAAAGCCCCAAAACCCGAACCCTGATCCCCAGACAGCACCCGAACACCTACCAGTGTGTAGGGTTTAGGGTTCGACCCTAAACCCTAAACCCTAAACCCTAAATCCTAAACCCCCAAACCCCCAAACCCAAGAACCCCAACACTCCAAACCCCTACCGATCCGGAACCCCTCAAGCCATGGACAAATCCAGATAAACATGCTGGATCTTAACTTTTTGCATAGGGCATTAGCAACCAAGGGCTCCTAGAACAGGAGGCTGATAAACCCTAAACCCTAAACCCGAAACCCTGAACTAAACCCTAAACCCGAAACCCTAAACACTAAACCCTAAACCCTAAACCCTAAATCGGCTCAAACCCTAAACCCAAAAGCAGGGGAGGGGACGAGGCCCCTAAACCCTAAACCCTAAACCCTAAACCCTAAACCCTAAACCCTAAACCCTAAACCCTAAACCCTAAACCCTAAACCCTAAACCCTAAACCTTGGGGAATCGTTCAAGACTGGGGCCAGCCTCGGCTCCTTGACCAAGGCTCAGCAGCAGCCGCTCCGAGGAGAGGAGGGTGGGGATGATCCACCTGCTTTGGGTTCAGGGTTTAGGGTTTAGGGTTTAGGGTTTAGGGTTTAGGGTTTAGGGTTTAGGGTTTAGGGTTTAGGGTTTAGGGTTTAGGGTTTAGGGTTTAGGGTTTAGGGTTTAGGGTTACCCTAGACCCGCACCCTGTAAGCCCTAAATAAACCCCTAAGCCCTACAAACCCTAAAGCCCGATTAAAACTGCAAAACCCTAATAGAAACCCTTTTCCTTTTGCGCCGGGCCACACAAGCTGGAGGGTGGCAATGAAGCGGCCGCGCTGGAAGTGAGCGCAAGCGACCTCCTGCCCAAGAGTTTAAGATTCTGGGGCCCTAAAAACGCTTTGGGGCTCCTAGCCTAGGGTCCCTAAACCCTAAACCCTAAACCCTAAACCCTAAACCTTTGGGGGGGGGGGGGGGGGTAAAGGTGGACGTGGGTTTTGGGGGAGAAAGGCGTAGCAAGGAAGCTCATGGTGCCTGAAGCCCGAAACCCTAAACCCTAAACCCCAAACCCGAAACCCTAAACCCGAAACCCTGAAACCCTAAACCCTAAACCCCAAACCCTAACCCCAAACCCGACACCCTAAACCCTAAACCCTAAACCCGACACCCGAATCTCTTGCAGTTCATAGGCCTGGTTCCCGGCGCCATAAGCCTGGCTAACAAAGGAGTCCTGAGCAGTCAATGCATTTATGGAGGTAAGGTTCAGGGTTTAGGGTGTAGGGTTTAGGGTTTAGGGTTGTAGGGTTTCGGGTTTCAGGGTTTAGGGTTAAGGCTAACAAAGGAGTCCTCAGCAGTCTATGCATGTATAGAGTCGATGTAAACCCTGAACCCTAAAGCCTGAACCCTTATTAAGCCTCAACCCTTAACCCTTAACCCTTAACCCTAAACCCAAAACCCTAAACCCTAAACCCTAAACCCTCCGAATAGTAGCCAAGAGTCCAAGGCAGCCAGGATACCCCAGCCAATGCTGAGACCCAGGCCTAGGCATCCAGGAGGCAGCGTACTCAGGGTTTATGGGGCTTAGGGTGTTAGGGTCTTAGGGTTTTTTGGGCTTTAGGGGTTAGGGTTTCGGGTGTAGGACTTCAGGGTTTAGGGTTTAGGGGTTGACTGTTTGGGAAGTAGAGCTTCCGCAGGGTTCAGGGCTAGAGCTTAGTCAGAGGGCTTAGAGGATTTAGAATCTTGGGCGGTTGGTCTTGGGATTCAGGGTTTAGGGTTTAGGTCTAGGGTCTAGGGTGTAGGGTGTAGGGTTTAGGGTTTAGGGTTTAGGGTTTAGGGTTCAGGGTTCAGGGTTTAGGGTTTAGATGAATGTCAGAGGAATCCTTGCCGGTTCTTGCAAACAGCACCAAAGCTCCTGCACATCCCCCTCACCGTCCTGTCACTGTGTCAGCGCGGCTACCCCATCCCAAGTGGAGGTACGTACAGTATCCATGCAGGAAGTAGCCATGAACGTGTGACTGTATTTGCCCCTTTCCTTCTCATTCAACTGGCTTATAGGGTCTACATGGGTAGCTGTTCTCCAAACTAGGTTGCCTTTGGGGTCCCTATACATTATGGAACCTTTTTTAGAATAAGGACCCCACATGTACTGTAACTTGGAAGTGAGTTGAACCGAGGGGCAGTTCTGCATCATGTTACCCAGGCCGACTGCAGCCAACGAAGCCGCGCTACTGGTCTTTCCGAGCCTAAGGGAGTGATCCGATATGCAGGGCATGGGAGACCGAAGTGGTCCTGGGGATGTTAGGGTTTAGGGTGTAGTGTGTGGGGGGGGGGGGGGGTTCGGTTTGAATTCTCTGAGTCTGGTAACTCCATTTTATTTCAAGGTACTCTTACTGCTTCTTCTGGAACCCAACAGGTGAAGGGAAGGGCGTGTACCCGAACAGAACCCCGAGCTCGACCCCCCAAACAATATGCTCCCCCACAAACCACAAGCCCGCGAAAAAGCCAGTACGTCCAAAGGCTAAATGCAATAAACAGCTCATAAACCCTGAAGAGTAAAAGCCATAAAGGCCAAGAATCTGCGAAAGCTCCATAAGCCCTACAAACCCTGTAAACCCTACATATGAGCCCTGTAAACCCTCTGATCCTTGTCAGGCCCCATAAACCCAAAAAAAACCTAGAAGCCCCATTCACCCCATTAACCCAACTAACAGCCCAATAACTACTCCGCAAGAAGCCCTATGCAACAGCCAGCATGGGCTACTGTACCCTAAACCCTAAACCCTAAACCCTAAACCCTAAACCCTAAACCCTAAACCCTAAACCCTAAACCCTATCACCCCCTTAGCAAGGGCCCTTTACTTAGAGTTGCTTCTTGTGGATTCTAGGGCCTCATAGGTTCATCCTGCCGGACACTGGGGTCGCTGCCAGATGACGTTGATCTGCTCGTTGGCCCTAAGATGCAACGAGTCCGCAAGCTTTCGGGGCTGTTTACTTTGATGCTTATATGAATGCCTACATATATATATATATATATAATGTGTATATATATATATGTATATATATATATATATATATTTGTTTTTGTCTACTTATGAAAATTATTAGGTCCGAGGGTCCATAAATCCGTTGTCAGACATTTGCTCACAGTATTCTCGTGCATCGCCCTGGCCAGGATTCCAAAATCCAATATGCCAAAACTTTTTTTTCAGCCCAGGATTCTCAAATTCCCAAAATCAAAAATATTCCAACAGTCCAAAAACTCACACGCACACGCATTTCTTATTTAAGCTACCTCCGAACCACCAAAATGGTGGATCCATGGGGGGGGATCGGGTAGCGAATATATATATATATATATATACGCGTTTCGCCGTTGCGCATCCGCGAATTCCGGGCCTTAAATATGCAGAGGTCCTCAAGGCTTCCCCTTGAACTCCGCCTCCTGCAGATCCGAACTCCGTAACCATGAAACACGAAATCCCAACCCCCACACGCTCTGAGTCCAAACACTAAACCCCAACGCTTAGGCTCCCACAGCAGAAGGAGATTGGAACCGATGTTGGGCATGGCCACCAACATCACCTCGGGGGCATTAGGGGTGCATAGGGGATTTGGGGTGTAAACGGTATTTCTTGTTTTTTTTTTGCGCTTAGAGTGTGGGGGTATTGGGCTTCTAGGGCTTAGGGGCCAACAACCTGCCACTTCTGAGCCGAGGGATTTCTGAGACTGTGAGACAAGCAGAAGAAGCATCCTTTATGGAGGCTGGGTCAAGGAGGAGACCCCTTGTCAGAGCCGCTAGTTGTTAAACTCTGCGCGAACATCTGACCCTAAACCCTGAACCCCAATGGCTGACGAGTGAAGTTGCGCATCGCGAGGCAGCGTTTTTGAAGACATCGGTGGAAGTACCGACTTACCACCTCTAAGACCAGCAGCCCTCGCACCACATCGGCTCCTCAGCTCCAACACCCCCCAAAATGGCCCAATATGGTGCTGTTTCAGGGTTTAGGGTTTAGGGTCTAGCGGAAAGGTTCGAAGACGGGTTCACAAGGAAGATCTGAGGGTTGCGTAGTAAAGGCCCCACCTAGACCTCAGAGAGTCTTGCGCCGCGCCTGCTTCGTGAGCTGCACCCAGCCTGTGGCAACATCTCCTGCTTGCCAGGTACCCAAACACAGCGTATATACGATATATACCTCTACATACCCCTACAAACTCTAGATACCCTAAAAACCCGATATACCCTTAGATAACCCTATGTACCCTAAATACCCCGTATACAAAAAACCGTACACTATAAACTCGAAACCCGAAGCTGTCTGAGTCCTCAGGGGCAGGGCTTTGGGCGGTTTCGGGTTGAAGTTTAGCGTTTAGGGTTTAGGGTTTAGGGTGGTCCAGCTACAGCGTCCACCGCATAGTTGACCCGAGTTCAGGCGCAGGTGAAGACATAGCATACAGGGTTGGGCCTAAACCCTAAACCCTAAACCCTAAACCCTAAACCCTAAACCCTAAACCCTAAACCCTAAACCCTAAACCCTAAACCCTAAACCCTAAACCCTAAACCCTAAACCCCTCGCACCGAAGCTCTGAACCCGAAAGTCTACTAAACCCTCAACTCCCTCAACTTTTGGGGATCAGGCTTGTAGCGTACTTGGAGGGCGTTTGGAGCTTCTGACTCCCTAAGCCCTGAAATCCCCCCAGCCCTTTAGGGTTTAGGGTTTAGGGTTTAGGGTTTAGGGTTTAGGGTTTAGGGTTTAGGGTTTAGGGTTTAGGGTTTAGGGTTTAATCTCCGAAGCTGTCCTGCCGCCTCTTGCGCTGGTGCTGCGGCCTCTTGAGTCTTTGGGAGCCCCGTACCGTTTGGGAGCACGTATGCGGGTTATGCATGGGCTTGTTACATGTGCTCGGTTGTATATACTCTCTCTATAATATATCATGATATGTGCATATGCATATGTATATGTATACTGTAAATATATTCATATTATGTATATCATTTTGTATGTACATGTATGTATACATAGGTATGGGCTCTGAATAAGAAATATGTGTGTTCTTATTCGCCTTATACAGCTGCTCTCGGATGTGCACACCAGAGTGACCCAACTGCATGCATGCTACATAGGGCTATGTAGTACAGTAGCTTCTTTGGGGGTCTGCTTAACACTTGCTTGCAATGCTTTATCTGGGGATACATATGGCCAGTTCTCTAAACTGGGGTCCTCTTTTGGGTACCCTAAATATTCGGGGCTTCCTCAGAATAGTAACCCCAGAAGGGGGCCAGAATTTACAGAGGCGACCATATCGGCCTCCATGAAACGTTTAAAACCTAGCTGAACCAACCAAGACCCAAGAGAGCTTGACACATGTGTCGCGCTACGGATCTCTGGGTTTAGGGTTTCCTAGGACCCCGAGTACGCCCTTGTTCCCTCTTCTTAGGGTTTAGGTTCTCTTATGAGCCCTTTGAAACCAAAGTGGCACCCCAGCACACCTCCGCCTCCCGGCCCAAGCGTGGGCTTCGACGCCGTAGTGCTGAGGCAGAAGGACGTGAGGCGAGAGGCCTGAACAGCTTCGGCAGGCTGGCTGCTTAAGGTGTTCGGGCTTAAGGGTTCAGGGTCGAGCTTGTGGCACACTGTCGGTCGACGTGCGTGTACATGCATCGAACATCTTCATAGATGTATATACACAAACCCCCTAAACCCTAAACCCTAAACCGTTCATTTCTCAAGGGCAGCTTTCCGGTTGTCTGTAACATCTCAGAAACACAGCGAAATCTCAAAGATTGCCATTTTTCGGAAGGGTTTCGGGGGGTTCGAAGTTTTTGGCTGAGGGGCTTGAGGCTTAAGGTTGACCCCAAACCCTAAACCCTAAACCCTAAACCCTAAACCCCGGGTTTCGGGATCCATTTTGGTTGCTTGACCCCGGAACCCTTTCTCTGACTCTGCGGCTGGGCCACGTCGAAGAAACTCCAAAGACAAAGCCACCGACTGCAAAACCCAAACCCAAAACCCCAAACCCCAAACCTTATGAATCCTCAACCCCAAACCCCTAATCCCCAAACCCATGTAGAAGTTTTGAGAAATGTGTTGTCTTCTTCTTCTTGTTTTTTTTTTTTTTTTTTTTTGGGGGGGGGGGGGTGCGTGCCTGAAGCCCCAACGTGGTGGCCGGATTTGGCTCTGCCTGATTTGGGCTGAGGGGCTTCTAGGAGAGTTTGGGGTTTAGGCTTAGGGTTTAGGGTGCCGGGTTTGGGGTTTAGGGTTTGGGGTTTAGGGTTAGGGTTTAGGGTTTCAGGTTTACAAACCCTGACGCCCTCAACCCGCATAAACGCGATAGCGATTCGGGTTTTGGGAGAGTAGGGGTTTCCAGCCAAAGGCATATGTTGTTTTTTTCTTTTGCTGCTTTACGCTCTATGGGTCTATGGGGGTTTAGAGCTTAGCACTGAAGATGCAGATACAGGGGTATGAGTCAGTATGAGTCTACAAGCCTGCACCCTTGAAACTTTCACAACACTCATCCCACCTCTTCCCTACATCTTATCCCCATCCTATAGGGCTTAGGGATGAGGGTTTAGGGTTTAGGGAACCCCAAACCCCAAACCCTATATATAAACCCTAAACCCTAACCCCGACTTACTCAGCACCAAGAGCGGGGGCGTCCATGCAAAGGCGGGGCACTTCGGAGCGTCCACGTGCAGCCGCAAAGGCGGCTGCGGGGCCACCAGCGCCATGGCGCGTCGGGTTCGTATACAACCCTTGTAGACCCCTAGCCCTAAACCCTAAACCGTGAACCCTAAATCCTAAACCCTAGGGCTGATTAGGGTCTAGGGCTTGGGGAACCGCAAAGCCCATGAAAGCCCATGAAACCAGACCCTGCCCTGAAGCGGAAGGTGATCCGCCTCAAGTCCTAAACCCTAAGCCCGAAGTCCTAAGCCCTAAGCCCTAAACCCTAAACCCTACACCCCAGACTCTATTCTATACCCTATGATACCCTACAGCACCCCAAAGCCAAAGAGAGTTGAGGCACATCCATTGGGCTCACCATGGCTCGAGCAGAACCAGCCCACCCTAGCTGCTTCTTCCTTTTTCAGCCAAATGCTTGCGAATCCAGGGGTTTAGGGTTTAGGGTTTAGGGGTTAAGGTTTAGGGTTTAGAGTTTAGGGTTGTCCAGCGGATCGGCGAGGTGTAGCATTTAGGGTTTGGGGCTTAGGGTTTGGGGCCACCATCACCCTGGTTCGGACAACCATCGCCCTGGAGGCACGTATCCGCAAACCATCGGCCCTGATTCCTCAATGGTGGCTTCTTTGAGGTTTTAGGGTTTATCGTTTATGCCCTATACCCTAAACCCTAAACCCTAAACCCTAAAGGGTTTCGGCTGCAAAGTACCGGTCGTCCAGATTCTGTACTCCGGTTTGTAGCTCTGCCGCCCTGGTGCACAGGCAGAAGCAAATAAACCCTAAACCCTAAACCCTAAATCCTAAACCCTAAACCCTAAACCTGAACCTCGTAATCCCTGGATCCACATTCTGGAGGCTTTGGTCACCAACTAGCCTACCCTAAAGCCCTAAACCCTAAAGATATGGTCTTGTCGAGTGCTCTCTGCTGATGCAGATGTATGCTTCGTCCGAACATTCGTCCGAAGTGTCCGATGACTGCAAGCATAAGCGCCCTAAACCCTAAACCCTAAACCCTAAACCCGAAACCCTAAACCCTAAACCCCAAACCCCAAACCCTACAACACGAAATCTCCCCGCGGCCTCAGAACCGTCGTTCTTTATCACGCGAAGGATGTGAAGCCTCAGGCGATTTCACAGTAGGGTTCAGGGTTCAGGGTTCAGGGTTCAGGGTTCAGGGTTCAGGGTTTAGGGTTTAGGGTTTAGGGTTTAGGGTTTAGGCTTCAGGGTTTAGGGTTTAGGGTTTAGGGTTAGGGGATTTAAGGTTTTCACTGTTGGCTTCGGATGGCGTTCGGATTTCGCCACCCCAAAAGCCCAGAGCCTTGAACCCTTGCAGACTGGTCAGAGACTGTCCAGAACAAGTTTCTAGTCAATCCTGAGGCATGCAACACATAGGCTTCATGGCGTGGTATTCAGGGTTTAGAGTTTAGGGCTTAGGGCCCTGTAAACCCTAAACCTGAAACCCTCAATGAACTGTATAGGCCTCGGACTTCGGACCCTAACACCTCAAATGGCTGACCCCAACAACCTTCCAAATTTAAACCCCGAAGCAAATATGCTGAAAAACCATAGAACAACAAACGCGACGCTGAACTCCTATAAACTACATAAACCCTGTAGACTTATCAACCCTGTTCCCTACAGCCTGATACCTTTGAGCTTCCAGATCATGTTCCCTTGGTTTGATGGGTTCCTATGCCCTAAACTCTAAACCCTAAGCCCTATACCCGAAACTCTAGGAACCCGAAACCCTGAGCAGGGTAGGGGGGATGGGGGTTAGCTAGGGCGGGTTGTAGGTAAGGAGCCCAGAGAGGTTTAGGGTTTAGGGTTTAGGGTTTAGGGTTTAGGGTTTAGGGTTTAGGGTTTAGGGTTTAGGGTTTAGGGTTTAGGGTTTAGGGTTTAGGGTTTAGGGTTTAGGGTTCATGCAGCGCCTAAGCGCTTGTAAGCGCCGCGCTCATCGGCATTCAGAGCCTCTCCGGCATGTCGGGCCTGAGCGGAGGCTTCGGCAACGGTGGGTTTGGTGGTTTTGGGGGCTTTTGGGGACCCCAAGCCCTAAGCCCTAAGCCCTAAGCCCTAAGCCCTAAACCCCTAAACCCCTAAACCCTTAAGCTATAGTTTTTTTGGGGGATGTTGAGGTTAAGGGTTCTAGGTTTGGGTCGACAAATGATTCTAGGTGTTTTTTGCTTCTTTGGCGGGGGTACATTTATTGGGCACAAGGAGGGGCCCTCTAGTTATAAGCAGAGCTATAAGGATCCTAAGTTGGGTTGTAAGTCCCTTAACTTTAGTTGGTATAGTAAGGGGGCCTGTTTGTACCCCTATTTTGGGAGAATAGTCATGTAGAGAGAAGTGCCCAAACCATGGCTCTGGATTCCCCCAGAACTTGAGCGCCCGGCTACGAGAGTGCGGCCGGCGGCCACTCTTCCTAAGCCACAGGAGGTTGGCCCTTGAATGAAGAGCGCTCGAATCTTCCTAAATTCTCCTCAAACAAAGTTTAGGGTTTAGGGTTTAGGGTTTAGGGTTTAGGGTTCAGCCCCACACGCGTGTGAGACTCACAGTGAACTGAAAGCCCTGCTGCAGCTCTATAACCTTGACCCTCCAGGCAGGCACCAAGGACAACTTTTGCACGCTGCGGGCTGGCTCTGGGATTCAGATTCCGACCGAAATCTGCTTGGCATTGTGAGCTACACAGCGCTGGGACTCGCTTGGCCAAAGAGGAAGCTTACAGGATTGAGAGATGGCCTTGCCTGCAACAGAGCTCACTCTCGCGTTCACTTGTAGATGCACTCGGCGCAGTGTTGAGTCGTGCCTCTGCGCAGTGCAAACAAAAACGCCCTTAGAAGAGCCCGTGATTCTTCAAGCTTTTCAGGAAATCCTTAGTCCGGGGCTTAGGGTCAGAAATCGAAGATCAATGTGGGGCTCAATAACTTTCAAATATCAGGGAAGCAATGAAACTTCAGCCCCTAAACAATGCCGCCAAGAGATTTAAGGGCTTAGGGTTTGGGGTTTGAGGGCCGCCGCCCCACCCTGCCACAAAGACCACTTCTGCTGCTTGTACCTTGGGGACAGGATGAACCCCAAAAGGCTTTATGGTTCATAGACCTTAATTAACAGGGATTATCGTAGTATAGGGTACATGACCCACAATTTTAAGGTTCATGTGGTCCCAGCCCGAAGAAATGCCAGACATTTTTTGTGCACTGCAATCCTCTTCCTCTGTTTTTGGGAACTCTGGTGGCCTTAGGTGGGTGTAGGGCGCACGTATAGGATTCTAAGGAGTCTGGAGTTTCGGCGGTCTTGTCGATGGTAAGGGTGACAGTCTGCCTTCAAGCTTGATCCCTCCACCACATCGCCAACACCCACCGGACATCGTTCAAACAGTGCCCTGAACCGCTTCGCCAGCAACTGATGGCAACTGCATGCAGTGGGTGAAGCGTTCCTTCGAGGGGGTGGGTGCATTCCTTCGAGGATGAGAATGGCAGTATATGCTGGTGACACTGCGGCGATGATGCAACTATAGTTCTGGCGCAGGAACTTTAGCTCATCTCACTTCCACGTGTGCAGTTGCAGGTGAGCTGGTGAAAGTCTGGTGCCTACCAGCTCTGCAGCCGCGAGAGCGGCAAAGAAAGGTGGGACTCGAAAACTCGCATCCGAACTTCAAAGGCTTCGCGTGACCAATTGCAGCTGAGCCACACCATCAATATTTTGCTCCAAAGAGCGAATCGTCGCCTGGCCACCGGGCAGGTCGCCATAGCATGTTTCCGGGGTGGAGAATGGCCAACGCAGTGCCCGGCCTCTGCGTGCGCTTGCGGCCTTTCTTGGACGTCGATGCCTTTGGGCCAAGAAGTTTGGGAGGCTGTGAGGGCTGGAGGAAGACGAAGTTCCCTCGTGTGAATAACAGGGCCATTCTTGTCAACTCCCCAAAGGCGGAGCCAGCAAAACCTCCAAGGCCATCCTGGGCCGACATGTGAGAAAAGGTACCTGCAAGCCCCTGGGCTTACAGGTACCTCCGGCCGAGGATGGCCGTGGAGGATTTGCTGGTGCCGCCGAAGGGGATTTCACGGGTCCGGGCAGCTTGGGGGCGGCTGCTGGGCGCGGCTGCGGGAGGCGGAGGGGGGTTCATGAAGGTCAGCTGCGTAGCACAGCGTTTGGAATTTGGGTGGCAGTTGCATGGGGATGGGCTGATAGCTCAACCCTGGGATCACCGCATAAACAGTTCGTTGGTGCAAAGTGTTGTGGTGGGGGCCAATAGCCTGAGGTTGCAAGGTTGTGGTGGTGGTGGTGGTGGCGGTGGCTGCCAGTCTCAGTACCACTGATGGTGCTGCACAGCCGGGGGGATGTATTGGAGAGGTCCCGGAAGCCACGGCGCAAGTCGAGGCGCGATCTGGGGGTGCCAGGCCGCCCCTGCTTGCCGGGGAGCAAGCAGTGTATGGCCCAAACTACACTGTAGTTCGGGCCATAAACTGCCTGCTCCCCGACAAAGGCCGGGGTAAGCTGGTGCACAACTGCTGCATTGCTATACGGGCGAATCTCACGGCTATATCTTTCCTCGCTTGAACCAACCCGGGGCTGCGGAAAGGGACACTCTCACGTAGACGGTCGCATGCCATGTGGCCATGTGTGTGTGCGGGGTGTGTGTGTGTGTGTGCACCCTGATTCTAAGCTAAGGGTTTTTGGAAAGTCTCTGAGGCTTGGCCGGACATTTCGTATAGATGACTGACGGTGAATGCGTTTTATGCAGGGGGGCAAGGGCTCCAGTGACTAGCCTTGCCCAACGAAGCCGAGTCACTGGAGTGGACGCAGTGGCTGATCACCACTGTGCACCTGCAATCGAAAGGCCATCCCAAAGTACCCTTAAAGTCGTTTGCTGCCACAGTGGCCTGCAGATGGATGGATTTTAGGCCACAATTACATGTGCTACTTCGACTACCACTACTTCTACTTCATTTTCGTCACCATGCATAAGATCTTCGGACAGGGAAGCCAATGAGAGTTAACTCTCTTATTTCCGTGTGTGTGTGTGTGCAGGTGAATGCCAGCATGTCATGAGCGTCTGAGTTCAGCTGAGCCGTGCTCGGCGTTTGCTACCCGGCCAATGGCTTACTGTGGGTCCCGGAGTGGCACTATCACTAGACAGATAACATACCAGGGCAAATGAATACATGAAGGATCATTCAGAGAGGACTTTGCCTGCTGTAGATGCGGTCGGCGAGCGAAGTTGCGACTGGAACCTGTGGACATCCAACATGAATTCTCAGATACGTCCAAGCCATTGCTGTTGTCTTTTGATGTTTGGGGGTTGGGGTCCGATAGAGTTCTCAACCCAGCAAGGCAATGCAGGAGCCGACAATGCAGGAGCCCAGTACTTTCGGAACCCTCGTGTGTACCTGTATCTGTGCTAGAAGACCCTACTGTGACCCCCTAAATCCTAAACCGTAAACCCAAGCCCTAAACCGTTAACCGAAACGCCATCCGAAAACCCCGTCAGGCCGGAAACCTGAAGCCTCGAAACCCTAAGGTTTGCAGCCCTAGAATCAAGCAGATGGATAGCTTGCAACAGAGAAGCATAAACCCAACTTGCCGGCTGAGGGTTTAGGGTTTAGGGCTTAGGTTTTTAAGGCTCTTAGAGTGAACCACCCCCAAAAGCACACCGTAGGAATGCAGTTCGGCTGTACCCTCGAATGGGATTTGCTGGCCTACTGGAAGGGAGGCAGTAAACTCAGGGAGGAGAGGTCGGCTTTGCAGGCAACCGTCCGAAACCTTACAAATCAAGGTCGAACCTCCCCAATGCTCCTGGTGGAATGGACCTACCCCACATTCTGGATGTCTATCTGACCTGAATATCGTCATAGTACGACAAGCTCTTGTTAGGACTGAGGTAGGTGGCCTTGGGGTTCTTAGGGCAAGGCAGGCTTTCCCCACACTAAGGGGCCTGCCGGTTTGTCCATCCCTGACACTCCATGTCCCCGAAAGCCCCCACACCCTAAAACGCAAAAACGCGACCGGTACTTCTGCACTCATGGGCTCGCCAGGCAGGCGCAAGGGCCTTTTTGTGTACAGCACGCCTCTCCCTTCGTCCCTGGACTCTGATGCTATACAGGAATGACGGTATGTCGCAGGATTCTACCAGTCGTAGGCGTAGGGTGCAAGTATAGGATCAAAAGGGCTTGGGGGTTTCGAGGGCGTAGGATGGCAAGGGTTACGGTCTCATGCTTAGCACATGCCAGCACCCCCCCACACACGCATCGTCAGAACAATGCCCTGAACCGCTTTGTCGGCAACTGCGTGCAGTGGGTGCAACCTTCCTTCGAGGAAGGTGTCGGCTCATCTCAGAGCTTCTACAGTACCAGCTCTGCAGCCGCAATAGGGGCAAGGATGGGAACGATGAGGACTCGAGAACTCGCATCCGAACTTCAAAGACTTCGCGCGATCACAGCTAGGGGCGCCATCATGTTTGCATCACATAGATGATCTGGTATGGTGGTGGCGGCCAGCAGACCTGAGAAAATCTTGGAAGAGGCCCCGGAGGCCACAGCGCGAGCAGGCTCGTGATCTTGGGCCACCACTCGCCAGGCCGCCTATGCAATTCGGGTCATGTATGGGCCCAGTAGTGCAGCTTGACCCGGCCTTTGTTGGGGAGCAGGCACTGCTTGCTCACCGACAAAGGCCGGGGCAAGCTGCACTACAACTGTGCGCTGCTGCGTTGTCACGAGCACATCTCATTCATGCACGGCTGCACGGCTGAATCTTTCCTCGCTTGAACCAGCCGTGGGCTGCGCAAAGGGATGTCCCTCGATGTGGTATGCCAGGCGTGCGTGCAGGTGCATGTCATGCGCGCCTGAGTCAGATGAGCCTGGGGTCTAGACGTGGGGCTCTGCTTTAACTTGGTAGGAGGCGATGCTATGGGGTCGTGATTCACAGAGGACCTCGCCTGCCCAAGTTGTTCATGTCATCGGCGAAGCTTCGAGCCGGCCATTGGGACCTGCCCAGACAAACCCAAGAGCAGTCCGTGGTTTACATGTTACATGTAGCATAACTTCCATGCATTCAGGCTTCCTTCGCGGGCTCAGGGTCGGGAATTTAGAGGTGCATGTACTCGACATCCACAGACAGAGTCGGCTTCCGATCGCACGGGAGCAAGAAACCCTCTAGGCCCGAAACCCAGAAGGTTTTGGGTTTAGGGTTACGGTTTAGGGTTTAGGGTGCTAGGTTGCCAACGTAAAGCAACTCGGGTCCCCAATATAACCGAGGACGAACCGAGGACTCGCAAGAAGCCTCCAATCCAACAACAGGAGGTTTGGGGTTCTCAAGAAAAAGCCTACCGATTGAAGCCTGGCCGGACGCGGGGCGGAAGTGCCGGAAGCGCCCCGGCGCTCGGCAGTGCTGGCTGCAACGGAGCTGGAGTGCTGCCAGGCCAGGGTGTAGGGTTTAGGGTTCAAGGCTTAGGGTCTAGGGCTGTGATCAGGGGTAGGGGGCTTGAGGTGTTAGGATTTTGTTGTTACCTGTTTTGGGGGCTTTGGGGTTCTCAACCCAGGTCATCAAGACAATGCAGGAGCCAACAGACCGGGGGGCTTTCGGAACCCTCGCGTGTAGCTTATGACTGGCTGGTTCTTAGTAGGGAATGAGGGAATGAGGGCCATACCCTTTAAGGGATTATATCGGGCCCTCATTCCCTCATTCCCTACTAAGAACCAGCGGGGATGATGCAGCCTACCCTGAAGAACAGCTGCGCGATGTGCAAGCGATAAATACTGTGACGCAAGCATGCTAAGGTTCATTGTGTCGGGCCTTAGGCTCACGAGCTCCACAGCCAAGATCTTGCAGCTTGAAGGTCGAGTCGTTCTCCTCGACGCCGGCAACTTGAGCTTATTAGCTGCGTGCACCCAAAAAATCTTCTAGCCTTCGGACATGGCAAGGCCCTCGGAAGGAGTGGCGGCACCAGAACTGATGACAACAGCTACCTGAAGAGTGTACAGCACACGCGCACTTTACAGCTGCGGAGAACTCGCTAGCCTGCTCGACCCCACCCCCCGCCCCACAAACTGGCTTTGAATACATCCGGAGCCCTAAACCCTAAACCCTAAACCCTAAATGGGCTAGGCCCGAGTCTCCTTCCGTAGGCGGCTTAGGGGCGAAGCTCCTCAAAGCCCATGTTGCCTCTTTGCCTGCAGTTTAGGTTTAGGGTTTAGGGTTTAGGGTTTAGGGTTTAGGGTTTCGGGTTTAGGGGGAGCATCGACCCTGAACCCTACACTCTGAAGCCCAACACGCTGAGAACCTTAACTCTACTTTGGAGTAGACCCTGGAAAACAGTATATACTTTTTAGGAAAAGTAGCTACAATAGGAACCCAGAACCAAAACAACATATCAAAGTATAGTACTCACGCTGCATGGGGTTTAGGATTACACAGGATTTGAGGTTTTGGGTTTAGGCATTGTAAGGCAGAAGGAATCACAGGGTTTACGACATAGGTGCAAGTGTTCCTACGACGGATGGGCATCTGGAATCATTCGTGCGGGGTATGGGTCATGAATCGGGATAGTGCCTAGACCCAAGAGTAACGTAGCAATGAACAGGGTGCCTCTTCGGTTTAAACGAGTTCATATGGGAACCAAACCTCAAAAAAGGGACTAAGGGCCTTCTCTGGGTCCGGGATACATGGGCTTGAGGGCCACTATGCCCATGCTGCAGCAGCGACTTTGACTAGTGTGCCGCGCCTCGCCCGTCAGCGAAGGCCAAATCATCTCCTTGCGAGAAACTGGGGCTTAGGGTTTAGGGTCCAGGGTTCTGGGGTGAAAAAGCCCTAAACCCGAGACCAGGGTTTGGGGTGACATAGGGCAAAGGGCCCCCCAGAAAAAAAAGGCGCTCATGGCCAGGGTTGAATTCGCGCCATGTTTCCTTCGTGAGGATCGGTTTAGGGTTTGCAAACCCTAAATCTAGCCCTTCAGGCTTCAGGGAGGAGGCCTTATGGAGTTTAGTGCCCATGTAGGGAATGTTAGATTTGAGGTTTAGGGTTTAGGGTCCTATTCCTCCCCAACCCTTGAATTGCTAAACATGCACCTTGCTTGTCTCAGTAGTTGTTCAAAAGACCGAACCACAAGGGAAATTCCACTTTTTGTCCGTAAGGGTTCTTCTTTGAAGGGACGCTTATCCCCAAACATCCGTCTTATAGGCCCCAAACCCTGTAAAGGGCCTTTTAGAGAACAACCCTAAACCTTGATCCCCGAACTCTTCAACAGGGCATTTTAGAACAACCCTAAACTCTAAACCCTGAACAATTGAATTCAAAGACATTTGAGACAACCCGAAACCGTAAACCATACCCTGAACCCTCAACCCGTTGAAGGGCCTTTTTCGAACCCCACAAACCCTAAACCCTGAACCCGAAACCCTAAACCCTGAACCCTAAACCCCTCCAAGCGCGCCAAAGTGCAGGGCCCAGAGCCATGGACCAGTCGCCAGGTCTGGCCAGGAACGCGGACTCCAGCACCTTGTGCCCGGTTCTTTAGGGTTTAGGTTTAGGGGTGTAGGGTTTAGGGTTTACGGTTTAGGGTTAAGGGTTTAGGGTTTAGGGCTTGGAGTTAGGGGTTGTAGTTGGGGGTTGTCGGGTTTGGGGTTGTAGGGCTTAGGGCGTCGGCATTCTTATCGTCATCATCCGTCTATGCTGATTATGCACTTTCTGGCGAGCTTTGCTATAGGGTCTTTTGAGGGTATTTCGGAGCTTCAACCCTAAACCCTAAACCCTAAACCCTAAACCTTAAACCCTAAACCCTAAACTCTCCACAGCATAAGGTTCAACCAATGGAGTTGCCAGGACCTGAGTGCTGCGCGACAGGCAGCAGGCCCATGCGGGGAACTCGCGGCAGCAACGTCGCGCCTTGGCAAGGCTCTTGATCGCTACCTACCCTACCCAAAGGCTCCTGTGTTCCTTTCTGGGTTAGTTACAGGGGATTCTAGTCTACTACCCCAAAAAGGTACTACATAGGAGCCTTTGGGTATAAGCCGTTAAGAGGCCCAGTTGTTTGCTTGGGTTGCTCCTAGGGAATATAACCAAGATGGGCTCTGGATATACCCTATCATAGCAGTTAAGTGGGCCCTGGTTTTCTTGGGCTGCTTATAGGGAATAAAGCCAGAATTGATTGTGTTTTGCGGCTTCCCGGAACTTGGGCTTTGTTCTGGCAATTGTTTGTTTGGGCATTTTTGGAAAAAGCAAAAGAGAACGCAGTTCAAGCTTTGTCAAAAAAGAATGGAATGGAAATCAAGGCTAAGGGTTTGCGGGCAGGCCGCCGCCCTGCCGACTAGCTGATGTGCCGGAAACCCTTGAAGTAACCCCCACAAGTTCGATCAATCCAAGCATCTTGCCAGCTCCCGGCAAGCGTGGCTGGCAGCTGGGCCGCCGGAAGCTCCGCGTGAGGGCTGGCAGGAGAGGAGGGCGCGCGCTGCGGCCGTCGTCAGGACAATGTTCGATGCAAGGCCGTCCTGCGCAGAAGACAGTGGAAGTACACCAAGTGTCGGAGAAGAGACGGCTCTGTCCCTTGACAACGAATCCTTGTCGATCTGCGTTTACGTGGCACTGTACTGTACTTGAAGGCACTCAGAATACCACACTATGTCCTGTCGTCCCTCAACGAAAGCCGAGGAGATTCTCTTCGGAAGATGCTCCAAAGGGGCACTGCCACAGGATCTACGCTGCTTCAACGCACAGCTGCCCCGGCACACCGATGCACGGCCGCAGATGATGTCCTCCAGCTTCGCATGAAGACGGGCCAAGCAGCGCCACCAAAATACCTGGGGGGTCAGGTTCGGTTTTCCATGGTCAGCTTTTAACGCTTCTCGGACTTGGAGGTTAGAAGCTGAGGGTTCAAGGAGGACCACTTGCAGACTTGCAGGGGTAGCGGATGCAACAAGAGGATCAAGTCAAGAGGCGGCCTACTTCACAAGAGTTCAAGGCTGACTGGAACTGGCCACCACCACTGGCACAACAAGCCACGGAGGTCTGCAGGAGAAGCTGCAGCAAGGAATGCCGGAAAACCTGAGTCGCAGGGGCATGACTGCATCGGAAGAGTTCATTAGGGCTCGTTCAACACTCTTGTGACCCATCGGGGCCAGCGCGTCTCAGATCAATGGAAGTTAATCGGTCGCTCGGCCGATCGCCTCAGGCGATGGACCTTGGAGCTCACGTTTAGGGTTTAGGGTTTAGGGTTTAGGGCTTAGGGCTTAGGGTTTAGGGAATTGCTTCTTAACATAGGGAAAGCCCTTCCGCCTCCAGCCACGCCACCTCCGCTTTCCGTGAGCTCCTGAGCCCTTCAGACTCTTCCAATCAGTGCCGGTCCTCTTCTAAGAAACCCTAAACCTGCCCCCTCCCCCCCCACCCCCCTTCCCCCCCCTCCCCCCCCATGAAAAAAACAAATGAAAGGAGGCCAAGGAGCGATGGACAGGGTAGAGGCGCCCTGCCGCTGCAGCTCGTCTGCAACCTTTTCGTTGGGGCCCATGTAAGGGTTTGTAGGGTTTGTAGGGTTTGGAGGGTTTGTAGGGTTTGTACTGTAGGGTTTGTAGGGTTTGTAGGGTTCTGGAGGTTTCCGAAATTAGGGGTATTAGGGGTACCTGATTGGGGTCCTTATTGTAAGGGAATCCTACTTTTGGGGGGGTTGCATATTTGGGGTCAATTATTTGCGTAAACAACCATGTAGGGGTTCAGGGTTTAGGGTTTGTAGGGTTCAGGGTTTGTAGTTTGTAGGGTTGTAGGGTCCAATTAGGGCTTCTGTAGGGTCCAGGGTTTGTAGGCCTTGAACCCTAAACCCTATAGACCCTATAGGGTCTATAGGGTTTAGGGTTCAGGGTTTGTAGGGTTTAGTGTTTAGGGTAGGGTTGTAGGGTCCAATTAGGGCTTCTGTAGGGTCCAGGGTTTGTAGGGTCTAGGGTTTAGGGTTCAGGGTGTGTAGGGTTTAGTGATGGTGTTTAGGGTTTATAGGGTTGTAGGGTTGTAGGGTGTAGGGTTTAGGGCTTCTGTAGGGTTTTGGGTTTGTAGGATTGTAGGGTGTAGGGTTCTTAAGGCTTCTCTAGGGTTCAGGGCTTCTTTAGGGTTTAGGTTTTCAGGTTTACAGGCTTACGGGGTCTTGAACGTCAGCCCCTTAGGGGGCCAACCCCGTGTGTTAACTTAAATCAGGGGCGGTGTGGGGTGAAATTTCTTGGGTAAACCTCGAAACTTTTGAATATGGAAAATATGTTCAACCAACGCTAAACCTGACAGCCTAAACCCTAAACCGTAAACCGTAAACCCTAAACCCTAAACCCTAAACCCTAAACCCTAAACCCTAAACCCTAAACCCTAAACCCTAAACCCTAAACCCTAAACCCTAAACTGCAAGGCCAAACCCTGAAACCAAGCCGAAAAAGCCTCCTCGAGGAAAGCCAAGTCCGCCGAAGCACCTTCCTTGTGGCGGCGCGGCACGCGCGGGATGAAGCTGGGGCAGACGAAGCAGCTTCGCCTGGGGCAAGGGCTAGGGGCTAGGGGCTAAGGGCTTAGGATTTCGGGTTGGGGGTGTTTAAGTTGGGTTTAGAGTAAAGGGTTTGCAGTAGGGCAGGGTTTAGGGCCGAGTACTGTAAAGGGGTTGCAGAAGGCTTTACGGCCTAGGTTAGGGCGAAGAAGCCAGACACCTTGTTTCTGCGAGAAAACGCTGATTCGCCTTAACGCACTGATTGTGCCAAGCCCGTGTTGGAAGCAAATCTTGACAAGGTCTGTTTTTTCCTGTCGAGCTACACATTCTTGCGCGGAAGGATGCAAAGAAGTCTGCCAGCCTCACTGCCTCAAGACAAGTACTCACTAACGAATGTACTAAGCTTTGTGAGTTTGATGCCTTTTGCTTTGGCATCCTGCAAAAGGGTACGGGCCACCTGCAGCCTGTCCGGGCTCACCCCTGCAAGTTGCTTGGCAACGTCACCCACGCTCCAAGCATATGAGAGATAGCCATGGAAGAGTGCTGCCAAGAAGGTTTCAACGAAGATGCTGTTGGGTTTCACATGATGTTGTGGCAACATCACGAGGAGGTGCTCGAACTTCTCAAGCTCAGCGTTCCGATGTGCCCCTGCAAAATTTGTGAAAGTGACAATGTTTGGCTTCAATCCTTTGTTGAGCAGCTCCTTCATGAAGTCCCGGGCTTCTGCATGGCTGCTGCCATTCGCAGAGTTTTTGCATGCATTGATGGCAGACGAGTAGTGTAAGATGTCTGCATCTATACGTGCATCTGTCATGAACTCCAGAAGGCACTTAACCTCTTCCACATCACCCATCTCCTTCCTTGGCTTGCCGTGCCAACGTTTGTTGGGGCGCCGATAAAGACGGCAAATCTGTTCCGGACCTTCCAGAAGTTTATTGTTGACAGATTCTAGGATGCAACACGCCAAGTAGTATAACGTGACATAGCCCCCCACACAAGGCACAGAAGCACTCTTGGGTAAACCCTGGCGAGCCCACAAAAGACGATGCAACGAAGGCCTGACAACCTTACCTTTTGACAAATAAGACAAACAATTCAAGTCTGCATCCAGGGTCGGCGACGGCATCAATCCGTGCCGACGCACGAATTTTGTCCGCCCAACCCGCAGCCAATACCTCTTCCCAAATTGCATCTATTTTGTCTCTATCTTGCAACTTTCCAAAAATCTTCAGGCCTTGCAAGAGAAGGATCCGATCAACTGTGCTTGTGGGGATGTCTCGAACCTTTCTGTAAATCTTGGCGGCTTCTTTGTACTCGCCGCAGCGGTACGCAGCTTGCATCGCAGCACAGTAAATTGGTACAGAGACTCCGCTGTACTTGCCAAAGAGCCGCTGTACTTGCTTCCATCGCCCGCGCTGCCCAGCGGTCTTCAGCCTACCAGCCAGTTTGGACTCTTCTCTCGAGGTCAGGTTGCTGTCTTCCATGTGCACGGTGGTCCCTATGCTCAAGCCACTGCGTTCTCTCATAACGCTGCCAGTACGCTGCTTCCGAATGTTTCGGGGCTTAGCAGTCGTGGAGCTGAAGCCCAACTGCCCAAGCTGCCCGGTCCACAGTAGCCAGGTCGCAGCAACAGCAAGAGCTCGGTGCCATAGCAAAAGCCGCCGCGGCATGCTTTTTTCTTTCGCAGAGTTTTGTGGATTCTGAATTCTCTAGTCGGCCAGAAAAACAGAAAAAGCACCCCCTGTTGCAGCCTATTGCGGGCTGTCAAGCCCAAACCAGCAGCTTCTCGTTTTCAGACCTCCTCAGACCAAGCTTGCTCCTTCTTGTTGCACCCTCACACGAAAAGACGTGGTCTCATAACATTGATGTTGCGGCGTGTGAACAGCTGAACGACTGCCACCGAACAGTTCTTTGAGGCTCCGCCCCAGCATCATCCCAAACACATATAATGCCGACAGCAATAATCAGCATGACAATAGTAGTGATCTTCATAGTAATGAATGAAACTGTTTACAACCCTATCCGGCGCTTTGCAAAGGGTCGGGTTGTGTAGCCCGCAGTTTGTCCGAGCACCGTGACCGATGCACTCTGAGCCCTGAAAAGCCTAAACCCTGAATCATTGGGGTGTCGCGCTGCGAAACTCAAAGCCCCAAACCTTGCTACGCCCTCTACGGGCCTGTGATAGTCACTCAACCCTAAACCCTAAACCCTAAACCCCAATAAGCCCTAAGCCTATAAGCCCTACACTGTGATCCCTTAGCAAGGTTTCTTGGGGTCCCAAGCGCTGTGCAGTCTGTTGCTCTGGGGACAACAGGGGTTTAGGGTCTAGGGTTTAGGGTTCAGAAACCTTCATGTGCGGATGGAGGTTTCGGGGTGGCTTGGGGCAAGCAAGCTGTAGATGACTTGCCAATGGTTTTCTCCAAGTTGTCAGTCAAGAACCTATAGACCCTAAAACACGATAACTGTAAGAAGCCTACACCACGTCGAGTCACAGCAGCTTAGTAGGCTGGCGGCACCGGCAGGGCCGCAGTGCGCCCTGGACAACAGGTTTACAATCAAATGTTTAGGTCTAAGATTGATCGAGTCCTGGGCTTCTTCAGGTCCAAAACTTTAAGGTTTAAACCCAAAGCACTAAACCTGTGATCCGAGAGTTTCGTGTTGCATTGACTGGCCTGGTGGCAAGTGTTACTGCCAATCTCCACTTCGCGTGGCTTTCGCAAGCCATCCTTGGGGCACGGCTTCGGGGGGTTCAATGGCTTGTGGAGGCCTTACAAACCCTAAACCCTAAACCCTAAACCCCAAACCCTACGGGCCTATGGGATGTACGGTGCTCCGCAATTCTCAAATCGAATGTGCAGCTCCCATCCCCAACCCAATATCTGGGCGCAGCAAGGACTCTGCAAAGTGTCTCCAGTGACCTCAGCGGGGAGGCTGCACGCAATTTGAGGAGCTCACTTGTAGTGCCAAACACGGCTCGAAGACCACTGCATTCTGAAGCCCTCTTAGGCTCAAAGCCCGACACCCCGCAACCTTAACCCTTAACTCCCCCAACCCCAGCCCCCCGCCCGGCCGACTCCACCTCAGGTGAACCTTCTTAGCCGAACTCTTAAGCCCTCATCCTAAAGAATGGAACAGCACACTCAAACCCTAGCAAAACCACTCAGGCACACGCACATTCACAAGGGAAATTCACAGACACAAGAGCTAACCAGTCTCCGACCTAAACCTTCAACCTCTCAGCTTCTAGGGTTTAGGGTAAGCCCCCTAACCCCTAACCCCGAAACCCTAAACCCTAAACCCTAAACCCTAAAGCCTAGACCCCTCAACTCGAGGGGTTTTCCTCCAGGCTCTGGGCTCTGTTGGGCTTCAGCCCATCCTCACGGAGGCTCCGAAACAAAGAAAGCGTCCTCCGCAGAGTTGAGGGGTTTAGGGTTTAGGGTTTAGGGTTTAGGGTTTAGGGTTTAGGGTTTAGGGTTTAGGGTTTAGGGTTTAGGGTTTAGGGTTTAGGGTTTAGGGTTTAGGGTTTAGGGTTTAGGGTTTAGGGTTTAGGGCCAAGGGTTTAGGGTTTAGGGTTTAGGGTTTAAGGTTTAGGTTTAGGGTCGCTGGGGCTTCGCTAGGGTTCAGGGTTTCGGGTTCAGGGTTCAGGGTTGCGGATTCAGAAGAGAAGGTTGAGAGTTTCGTCAGGGTTCGACTCGGGAATTTCGGGAATTCGAGGGAGGGCACACCTCAGGCCACTAAGGCTTTCAAGGGTTTAGGGTTTAGGGTTTAGGGCTTAGGGTTTAGGGTTTAGGGTTCCTCAGGCCACTAAGGCTTTCAAGGTGGCTTTAGGGTTTGGGTCCAGGGCTGAAGTGGAAACCTGAAGCCTGCAGCCCCCAAAATCCTACCAGTTGGTGATTCGGGCACTACAGGGTACAACACCCTGCTCTTCCCAAAAGTGACGCAAGAGCTGAACAACTGAACAAACAACCATCATGCAACACAATCATACGCACAACAAATCTCATACAACATAGTATGTATATGTACTCTGATTAAGCATGATAGAAGCAGAGAAACCGGCATACCACACGTAGTCATCATCATACCGATACCAGCTCTGAGTGGCATCATAACCAGAAGGAACCCTGCATTCATAAACCCTAAGCCCTAAGCCCTTTATAAACCCTAAACCCTAAACCCTAAGCCCTAAACCCTAATGAGGAGGCTGCCTCTCCCATTGGCTGCTGCTCTGACAGGTGCCCATGGTCGCATTGTATGCCACGAGGCCTTGGGGATTCCCATGAGGGAGCCTAAACCCTAAACCCTACACCCCCAAACCCCTTAAACCCTGAACCCTAAACCCTACACCCTAAACCCTAAACCCTGTGGGGCGCTTGAGGTTAGGACTTGGCAGCTGCTCTTTCTTTTTGCTTGTCGATTGAGGGGTTTAGAGGAATGCGTTGCCCGAATTCCAGGTGATTACCGTTTGACCTACCCCGCCCCAAGAAGCGACCTTCTAAGGCCTGAGTCCCTTGCGCCATATACCCTGCAACTCGGACTCCCTACTGCTCAGCCCCTGAAATCAGCCCAAATCCCCTATAAACCTGAAGTCGGCTTAGGGTTGAGGGTGTAGGGTAACCCCCACACATCATCACACATCCCTAGATCTCCACAACCCTAAAGCGGTTGAGGGTTTAGGGTGTAGGGTAATCTCCAAGAAATCTGCCACAAACACCCAACGTGGCCCACCAGCCAAGTTGCTGGGCTGCAGCTCCCGAGCATGCATGCTACGCAGCAGGGAGACCTCGGCATGTTGTTTTAGGGTTGTGGTTTTAGGGATAAGAGGTTTAGGGTATATTACAGGGTTGAGGTTTAGGGTTCAGGGTGTGGGGTTTAGGGCGCAATGGCGCGGAGGGCGATTCAGAGTTGGAAAATTCCTGGCGTCATCGCGACGATGGGCTCCAGGGCCAAAAGCCATCCGACCCGAAACTGAAAGGCGACCGGCTTTTGGGTTGAAGGGTTCAGGACTTGCTTAGACCGAGACCCACTGCCTGGGGAACTGTTTTACGCTTCTTCAGACCGATATATCTGTATCTGATATATGTATTGCATTGTTCAACAAAAGTACACATAAAGTGTGCGTATAGGCTGAGCATCGCACAAGCAAGATATAGGATGAGGACTGACAACATAGGGGATCGCTACACCACAAACCCAACCCGAAAATCTCCAAACCATAGGCACACCTGAAATGTTCATGCCATAAAACCGAAGCATCTACACTGAGGAACAAGGGTTCGGGATTCAGGGAGTGTTCAACCTTGTAGTAACCGTACCCCCTATGATAACCCCCCATTACATTAAGGACGGTCAGTATAAGGGGGAACATCCTAACATGACACCCTAACCCGCCTTTCAGCCCAAGCACTCTCTCTCCGGCCCCGAACAAAGAAAACCAGAACATGACTCTACGGCTTAGGGTTTAGGAGCAGGATGCCAACTACTACCAGTGACTCTGACATGGCGAGACGCGTTCACAGAAAGTAAGAGTTCTGCCAACCCGCCCACCCCCCCCCGTACACACACACACACACAGCAACCAGAGACAACAACTAAACTCCGCCAAGAAAAGCCCAAAGCCTCATAACCTAAAGCGCCGTCTCAAGCCACGCCGGGCAGCAGCTTCGGGCCACTTGTGGCTCAGCTCCAGGGCGCTGATGCACGTGGTGTAGGAGACCTCCCAGTGCGGTTTCAAGGGACAGATATGGTAAGTTCTCTGAATTAGGGTCCCTTCTTGGGGTACCTTATATATTCGGGGCCGCCTTATCACAGTGACCCAAAAGGGACCATAGTTTAGAGAAGTCCCCGTATGTTCACGGGTTCGGATTGGGGTGCCCCTCTGCTGGGTTGACAAGGCATCTGTCATCTGCTTAAGGTTTAGGGTTTAGGGTTTAGGGTTTAGGGTTCAGGGTTTAGGGTTTAGGGTTTAGGTTCAGGGCGGTTAAGGGTTTAGGGTTTGGGGTTTAGGGTGTAGTGCCCTCAGGCTTTGGATTCCCACGCCACCAAGCAGGCCTCGTCCGCCTGAAGCGCGTATTGTCCAAACGTCTCCTGAGACACCCCTACAGTTTGTGAGGTTTAGGGTTTAGGGTTTAGGGTTCAGGGTTTAGGGTTTAGGGTTTAGAGTTTAGGGTTTAGGGCTTAGGGTTTAGGGACAGGCGTATGTAAGCTTTCACATGGAGAGGTCTTCTTCTCGTTTATGTTAACTTTCACTGTGCCACGGCCAATCTCAGAGAAGCTGACTTTAAGGATCAACCACCCAAAGCAATTAGGGTCTATCTAAGGTCAGGGTCTGCTTCCTAGCCCTAAACCCTAAACCCTAAACCCTAAACCCTAAACCCTAAACCCTAAACCCTAAACCCTAAACCCTAAACCCTAAACCCTAAACCCTAAACCCTAGACCCTAGACCCTATAAACCCTAAACCCTCTAAAAACCACCCCAGCAACTCCTCCAGGATCCGGAGGGCCTGCTGCCATCGCAACTCCCGC